AAGTGGATTAGTCTGATCCTAGAAAAGGTACTGAGAAAGGAGGAGGCAGACAAGGGTAAATTACATTACAGGAAAAGACACAAAACTCTATTACAGCACAGGGAAAGAAGGGGGGGTGAGCATTGTTTGAACCTTACTCTCATCAGATTTGGCTCAAGAAGGGAATAACATAATTAGTTAGGTATAGAAATCTAACTTGCCCTATAGGCAGTAGGAGGGAAAAGGGGAAAGAAAAGGGAGGGGGGATAGAAGGGAGGGAAGAAACTGTGGGGACAAAGGGGAAGAAAAGGGAAAGGGATAATAGAAGGGAGGAGGGGCTGAAGGAGGTGGTGGTCAAAAGCAAAACACTAGTGTGGGGGGAAGGAGATAGGAGAAAGAAAAGCATAAAGAGGGGGGGAAACGATGGAGAAAAAGACACAGACAGTAATCATAACTGTGAATGTGAACAGGATGAACTCTCCCATAAAACAGAAGCAGATAGCAGAATGGATTAAAAACCATAATCCTACAATATGTTGTTTACAGGAAACACATTTGAAAAAGAGTGACACATACAGGGTAAAGGTAAAAGGCTGGAGCAGAATATATTATGCTTCAGCTGAAGTAAAAAAAGCAGGGGTAGCAATCCTGATCTCAGACAAAGCAAGAGCAAAAATAGATCTAATCAAAAGAGATAAGGAAGGAAACTACATCCTGCTAAAAGGCACCATAGACAATGAAGTAATATCATTACTAAACATATATGCACCAAATGGTATGGCATCCAAATTCTTAGAGGAGAAGTTCAGGGAGTTACAGGAAGAAATAGACAGCAAAACTATACTAGTGGGGGACCTGAACCTCCCCCTCTGCACTAGATAAATCTAACCACAAAATAAACAAGAAAGAAGTTAAGGAGGTGAATAGAACATTAGAAAAGTTAGGTATGATAGACCTCTGGAGAAAACTGAATGGGGATAGAAAGGAATATACTTTTTTCTCAGCAGTACATGACACATACACAAAAATTGACCATGTACTAGGGCATAAAAACCTCACAATCCAATGCAGAAAGGCAGAAATATTAAATGCATCCTTTTCAGATCATGATGCAATAAAAATTATATGTAATAAAGGGCCATGGAAAGATAGACTAAAAAATAATTGGAAACTAAATAATCTAATCCTAAAAAATGATTGGGTCAAACAACAAATCATAGAAACAATCAATAATTTCATTCAAGAGAATGACAATAATGAGACAACATACCAAAACTTATGGGATGCAGCGAAAGCAGTTCTTAGGGGAAGTTTTATATCTCTAAATGCTTACATAAATAAAATAGAAAAAGAGGAGATTAATGAATTGGGCATACAACTAAAAAAACTAGAAAAAGAACAAATTAAAAATCCTCAACTAAACACCAAATTAGAAATATTGAAAACCAAAGGAAAAATTAATAAAATTGAAATTAAGAAAACTATTGAACTAATAAATAAAACTAAGAGCTGGTTTTATGAAAAAACCAATAAAATAGATAAACCTTTGGTTAATTTAATTAAAAAAAGAAAGAAGAAAACCAAATTACTAGTATCAAGAATGAAAAGGAAGCTACCACCAAGGAAGAGGAAATTAAAACAATAATTAGGAATTATTTTGCCCAACTATATGCCAACAAATTTGACAATCTTAGTGAAATGGATACATATTTACAAAAATATAAATTGCCCAGATTAACAGAAGAGGAAGTAAAATACTTAAATAACCCCATCTCAGAAAAAGAAATTGAACAAGCCATTGATGAACTCCCTAGGAAAAAATCTCCAGGGCCAGATGGATTTACATGCAATTCTATCAAACATTTAAAGAACAATTAATTCCAATACTATATAGACTATTTGGGAAAATAGGTGAAGAAGGAGTCTTACCAAATTCTTTTTATGATACAAATATGGTGTTGATACCTAAACCAGGAAGAGTCAAAATAGAGAAAGAAAATTATAGACCAATTTCTCTAATGAATATAGATGCAAAAATTTTAAACAAAATACTAGCAAATAGATTGCAGCAACTTATCACAAGAATAATACACTATGACCAGGTAGGATTTATACCAGGAATGCAGGGTTGGTTCAATATTAGGAAAACTATCAGCATCATTGAGCATATCAACACAAAACCAACAGAAACCACATGATCATCTCAATAGATGCAGAAAAAGCTTTTGATAAAATACAACACCCATTCCTATTAAAAACACTAGAAAGCATAGGTATAAATGGAGTCTTCCTTAAAATAATAAATAGCATCTATCTAAAACCTTCAGCAAGCATTATATGTAATGGGGACAGGCTAGAAGCATTTCCAATAAGATCGGGGTGAAACAAGGATGTCCATTATCACCACTGTTATTCAATATTGTACTGGAAACCTTAGCTTTAGCAATAAGAGAAGAAAAAGAAATTGAAGGCATTAGAATAGGCAAAGAAGAAACAAAGCTATCACTCTTTGCAGATGACATGATATACTTAGAGAATCCTAGAGAATCAAGTAAAAAACTACTTGAAATAATAAACAACTTTAGCAAAGTTGCAGGCTATAAAATAAACCCACATAAATCATCAGCATTTCTATATATTACCAACAAAGCCCAACAGCAAGAGATAGAAAGAGAAATCCCATTTAAACTTACTGTAGACATTATAAAATATTTAGGAGTCTACCTCCCAAACAAACCCAGGAACTCTATGAACACAATTACAAAACACTTTTCACACAAATAAAATCAGATCTAAATAATTGGAAAAACATCAGTTGCTCATGGGTAGGCCGAGCTAATATAATAAAAATGACAATCCTACCTAAGCTAATTTACTTATTCAGTGCCATACCAATCAAACTACCAAAAATTATTTTATAGAGTTAGAAAAAATAATACAAGATTCATTTGGAAAAAAAAAGGTCCAGAATATCAAAGGAACTAATGAAAAGAAATGCAGGGGAAGGTGGCCTAGCAATTCCAGATCTTAAATTGTATTATAAAGCAGCAATCATCAAAACTGCTTGGTACTGGCTAAGAAATAGGGAGGTGGATCAGTGGAATAGGTTAAATATGCAAGACACAGTAGTCAATGACTATAGTAATCTATTATTTGATAAACCCAAAGACCCCAGCTTCTGGGATAAGAACCCACTCTTTGAAAAAAACTGCTGGGAAAACTGGAAAAGAGTATGGCAGAAACTAGGCATAGACCCAAATCTCACACCAAATACCAAAATAAAGTCAAAATGGGTTCATGACTTAGATATAAAGGCTGATACCATAAGTAAACTGGGAGAACAAAGAATAGTTTGCCTATCAGATCTATGGAGAACAGAAGAATTCATGACCAAACAGGAGATAGAGAACATTATGAAAAGCAAAATGGATAATTTTGATTACATTAAATTGAAAAGTTTTTGCACAAACAAAGCCAATGCAACTAAAATTAGAAGGAGGGTAGAAAATTGGGAAAGAATTTTTACAACCAGTCTCTCTGATAAAGGCCTCATTTCTAAAATATATAGAGAATTAAGACAAATTTATAAGAACACAAGCCATTCCCCAATTGATAAATGGTCAAAGGATATGAACAGACAGTTCTCAGATGAAGAAATTAAAGCCATCTATAGTCATATGAAAAAATGCTCTAAATCATTATTGATTAGAGAAATGCAAATCAAAACAACTCTGAGGTACCACATCACACCTATCAGATTGGCCAACATGACAAAACAGGAAAATGATAAATGTTGGAGAAGATGTGGGAAAATTGGAACACTAATGCATTGTTGGTGGAGTTGTGAAATGATCCAACCATTTTGGAGAACAATTTGGAACTATGCCCAAAGGGCTACAAAAATGTGCATACCCTTTGATCCAGCAATAGCACTTCTAGGGCTATATCCCAAAGAGATCAAACAAATGGGAAAAGGACCCACATGTACAAAAATATTCATAGCAGCTTTCTTTTTGTGGTGGCAAAGATTGGAAATTGAGAGGATGCCCATCAACTGGGGAATGGCTGAGCAAGTTGTGGTATATGAATGTAATGGAATACTATTGTGCTATAAGAAATGATGAACAGGCTGACTTCAGAAAAACCTGGAAAGACTTATGGTCTGATGCTGAGTGAAGTGAGCAGAACCAAGAGACTTTGTACACAATAACAGCCATGTTGTGCATGACTAATATTGTAAACTGAACCCTTCTCAGCATACAAGGATCTAAGACATCCCAGAGGCCTCATTGGAAAATGCTGTCCACATCCAAAGAAAGAACTATGGAAGTGAATCGCTATCATTTTTTTCCTCTCTGTTGAGTTTTTTTCCTTTGATGGTTCCTCCTATTGGTTTTAATTTTTACTTACAACTTCACTAATGTGAAAATATGTTTAATAGGAATGTAAATGTATAGCCTATATGAGATTGTGCGCTGTCTTGGGGAGGGTGGTGGGGAGGAAGGGGGAGAAAAATTTTAAACTCAAAAGCATATGGAAGTGATTGTTGATAAATCAAAAGAAAAAAAGATTTGATGTATTGCAAAGAACACTGGATATGGAGTCAGGACATGAGTTCAAATCACAGCTCTCACACTTACTTAACTTGTTAAGACAATTGACCTTTGTGTACCAAAGTTTCCCCTTATGTCATAAGAAGACTGGATAATGTTCTCTTCCAGCTCTAAATCCCATAATTCTATTTAAAGAATACACCAAGAATCATGGATTCACTTAGAATAATATCTAAAAGCAATATTAGTTTTATAATTTTTTTTTAAAATTAACATTAGACTTAGCTCTTCTAAGCAATGCAAGGATCTAAGATATCTCTAAAAGTCTCATTATGGAAAATGCTATCTACATCCAGAGAATGAACTATGGATGGAGTTTGAATGCATATCGAAGCATACTATTTGCTCTTTTTTTTCTTCATTTTGATTAACTTTTTATATAGTCCAATCCAAAATAAATGTCCTTACCACATTACAAGTTGGCATAACAATCTTTTCACAGCTGCATTCTAAAGAGGGGAAAAACCAATATGTTAACATCAATCAAAATAAATTAATGTGAAACGCATTAACATATTGGTACATTAAAGTATCCAAAGATCGAGGTTAGTTACCACAATGCCACTCTGGACAGCATTGTCCTGATACATTTCCTTTCACAAGTTGCCTGTCCTCTGGGCAGTTAAGCAGAGGTGGGGAGCAAAGATTCTCCTCACAGACTAAAAGCAAAAAACAAAGAAAAACAAAAATAGTAACATGCATCAAGATGAATTCTATGCATAAACCTATTGTTTCTCTTGCCTCAACCCTCAATGATCTTCCCTAATGAAAAGGGCCCTTAATCAGTTAACATGAGACCAAAACTAAATTATTGACACTATTGTTCAGACACTACATTACTTCTTAGTGAGAACAAATAAAATCATTCATAGATGGTGTGGTACCTCTAATATCTATGCCAGATAAAAATAATGAGGCTTCCTTGGGAAATGGTGGCAGCAGGCAAGAGAGACGGGAAGAGAAAGGTTTGGGAACTCAGCTAGATATGAGACCCTCACTCTAAAGAGTAAAGCCAGTTCATCTGGGAATTGAGGACCCAGTTTGGGTAGCAGAGCCACAGTCCAAGTTAGGTATCAAAAAAAAAAAAGTAGTTAACCTGTGCCTGCAGAAATCAGGTATGGAATATATATGTGTGTGTGTGTGTGTGTGTGTGTGTGTGTGATATATATGTGTGTGTGTGTGTGTATACACACATATATACACATATATAATATGTGTATGTGCATGTATGTATACATGTGCATATGTGTATAAACACACAGATATGTGTGTATTTATGTTTATGTATTGTTGTATATGTATGTGTGTAAGTATGTATATGTGGAAACACACATATATACATTACACTGGTCGCACAGCAAACATCTAATTGTATTCTCTTTCAATATTCAAGTTGTCTCAATCAACAGCAAAAGCTAAACACATGATAATCTTTTAGCTAAAATGGACTTACCACAGTAATACTGAGGGCAACAGTGATGTGTGGTATTGAGATCCACAGTGAGAAATTCTCCCTCCATGCACAGTGGAATAGGCTCAGTGCAAGGTTCACAAACTGGAGGTAAAGACCGAAAACCACCAAAGAGAAAATTTGTACTAAAGTTACTTTAAGTTATTAGAATGTAAACTCCTTGCATGTCAAGATTGCTTCATTCTTTGTATTTATATCACTAACATTTAGCAAAGGCCCTGGAATACAACAGGTGCTTAAAAATGCTTTTAAAATTTTTGATTATTACTTCACAACTTTCTTGAAAAATATGCTCAAAAGAAGGTGTACAGTTTGCTTAAGGAAAAATAAAAGTAACTGAAGTTTTTAGCAGGTAAAACATTTGAAGTTTGGTTGATATTAGTATTATTAAGCACTATTTATATAGCCATAAGCTATATAATTATAAATCAGCAGACAACAAATCACTGTACCACTAATACAACTCCCCTCTCAAATATTCTTTAGCACTCTATGAATAAACTGTACTAGAGCCAGATTTTTTTAAGACTGGGTCTCTATTTCACTTAGGCCAGAGCTGCAGGGGACAATCAAAGGTCTGACACCAGCCCTGAACCAGCAGCAGAGTTTTGAGCTGCTTCATTTTCTAACCTGGGCTATTTGCTCTCTCTTAGGCAACCTGATGCTCCCCACACCAACTCACCATCTTAATGCTGAGTTGGCTCCCCATCAGCTTAGCTCACTGCAACTCAGAACACCCAAGCTCAAACTATCCCCAGTCTACCGGTTAACAGGCATTACAGGCATTAGCCAACACACCTGCCTAATCAGAACATTATCAAGGAGAAAATTGCTGCCCACAATCACTGGGACAAACACTATTCTATGAAAACTTAAGAACAATGTTTGTAAGAGGTATCACAAAGCCAAACACACATCATTTCCAAGCTATGTGGCACAAAAAAATTTCAAAATACGGAGACAAGTAGAAGCATTTAAAACCACGCAGAAATGGTATGACATATATATCATCCTGTCTTCTAATGGAATTGGGTCAAAAATGCTTTCAGTGAACTTACAGAAGATGGACTTATATGATGCCACTGATATTCAATTTAAAAAAGCAATTATTCAGAATCCACTGAACACTAAACACGTAGGACTTGTCTTAGAAAGGTTTCTATTTGAACTTTATGAAATATGAGGTAGCTATATTATTTATTAATAACATTTAATATATATTAATGTTTATTTTATACATAGAGTAAGTCCAAAAATACATGTAATGAACAACATTTGTGAGCTTCCTGATTTCTACAGAGGGGTGGGATGGGAGTGCCTTCTCATTTCTCTCTTTTTTCGAGCCATGCATGTTCTATAATTTTTCGACATTCATTTTATTTGGGGTTGTACTTTCTGTTTGTATTGTTGTAGGCATTGTGCATAGTGTTGTCTTGGTTTTGCTTATTTTACCCTACATCAGTGCATATAGATGCCTATCTATTAATCACATTTATCATTTTTTACAGCTCAATAATATTCTCTTACATTGATGTAACACAATTGGTTTAGCCATTCCCCAATCAATGGGCAGAAACTTTTTTTTCCAATTCTTTGTTATCACAAAAAGAAAAAAGCATTGCTATAAATAATTTGGTGTGTTTGAGGATTTTCTTCTTATCAATAGCTTCCTTGGGATATAAGCCTTAGTACTGGAATCTCTGGGTCAAGAGATAGAGATAACTTGGTCCCTCAATCTGTGTAAGTTCAAATCGCTTTCCAAAATAGACACTGATTTACAGCTCCACCAACAATGCACTAATGTGCTTATTTCCCCATAACCCATCTAAAATGACTATTCTCATCTTTTGCCATCTTTGCCAGTTTGCAGTGTTTCGAGAGAAACCTCAAGGTTATTTTGATTTATATCTCATTTATTTTTGTTTATTTGAAACATTTTTTTCATATGGTTGTTAATAATTCACAATACTTCTTTTGAGAATAATTTGTTCATATCATTTGACCACTTATCTATTGTAAAATGGATTTTTAGTATGGATATATATATGCGTGCATGTGTGTGTGTATACATGTGCATATAGTATTTGCATATGCATACATATATGTTTGTATATGTATACACACATATCTGTTCATTGTTTTTTATATCTTGGAAATCAATCTTTATTAGAGAAATTTGATACAAAGATCTTTTCCCATTCAATCACTTTTCTTCTTGTCCTAGATGCATTAATTTTCTTTGTATAAAGATTTTAGTTTCTTATAATCAAAGTTTTTTATTTTATCTTTTCTAATTGCCTCAATCCCTTTGGATATACCAAATATAAGTTTTTATATATTTATTGCATCATAAGGATAAACATTGCTTAAAAATGCATTTTTTCATCTTTGAGAAAGATATGAACAGGAGTTAAGGGCTCTCATTTTTCGAGCTCTCATTAGTAAAGTAGAAATTATATCTCTACTGACAGAATCATGCTTTGTGCCTCTCTCATTAAAGATGGTTATAGCTTACATCAAAGTTATCTAGTAATTAAGATAAAAGATAGTTCTGGAGAGTCATATCTTTAAAAAATGCTTTTTCTTAAAAGCAACTTGGCCCTTCCAGGTAATCTACAAAATTTTTTCTTTAAAATATAGATATTACATTGTAACAATATATAAACAAAAACCCCCCATTATTTTACTATTCCTACTCATTTTGATTCAGTTTCTAGCTTTTACTAGTTAAGCCAGGGCTTCTTAGCTTTTTTGTGTGTTGTGGACTGTTTGGACAGTCTGGTGAAGAGTAGGGAGCCTTTTTCAGAATATTACTTTTAAATGCATTAAATAAAATAAATCAGATTACAAAAGAAACCCTGAATATTTTGAAGGACATTTGTCAATTTTTTAAAATTCATCAATCCAAGTTAGTATCCCTGCCTTAGAGGAAGGTCATAACAATTGGTATAAGTTAGCTCAGTTATATCCATATCTGTAAATCTACTTTGTTGACATTTTAGAGGTAGATGTGAAATAAAGAGTTCACTGGTTCTAACAGCTTTATGCAGATATCCCTGAATTGAAAGATCAAAACACTTGGTGACAAGTTTTATAAAATCATTATCACATTAAGATGTCCCTAACCACTTTTTTCCTTCTTGTAAGTACAATGTACGAAAAATGTCTTACCACAAAAAGGGGAGAAACAGCAGGGTTCTCCCTGCTGAACTTGAATCTCAAATTGATCTTCCCTGCACTCTGATTGTGGAGCATCAGGACAAGCCAAAATGTCACATTCTACAGAAAGACAAATAAATTTTGTTTTTTAAAAAAAGGGGTACAATAATGCTAAAATAAAGCAAGATGGTTTTATTTACTTTTCTTTGTATTCAAAAAATAGCAATTTCCCAAATAACAACTTTTATTCATTTCCCTTTACTAAATATCAGAATTCTTTTCCAATTTACTCTATCACTATATAACATAGACAAATTTGAACACTACTTGACCAACAAATTATATGCAATATTCTGTACCCACAGTCATCCACGTCTGCCAAGGGAAAAGAGATATGTTTCCTTCTCTTTTTTTTCTGAGATTAATATTGTGATTAGTCATTGCAATATTAGTTTAATATCAGCATCATGATGATTAACCAGTTTTACAGACCCTAGTATTAATAGAAACATATAAGATTTCTATACGCCTAAAGTAAATTTTAAAAAATAAGATAAAATTGCCCTTAGAAAAATAAACAGATCTTGCTCTATAGAGTTCCTTAAGTATTACAAAGAATGACAAAAGAATCCACTACTCTGATTGGATGGTGTATTTCACTTACTTAAACATACAAGCCTTAATAATTTAAATACTTTAAATATTTAATGGTTTTAATAGCTTTAAACTACACTAAGACTTTGGAGAAACTTTGTATATACACATAGATACATTTATACCCTATATAGCTACACCTATGTATATATGCACACATAAATCTATACATTTAATTATAGATATGTATTGTCCCGTATGTATATGTGGGATATCTTTAGCTATGTACGGATATATGTATGTATGTATGTGTGTATATGTATGTGTGTGTATGTGTATATACATACACATATATAAAACATATGGATATGCACGTAAATGTGTGTACATGTGCATGTTATATATAATACCTGTGCATTATTATAATTAATACACACATATATATACATACATCTACATTATACTTAAAATAGATCTGTGATCTCTCAGATTTGAGAGTTCCTTCCAGTGATAAAGATCACAATCCAAATGTGTCCACCCATGACCCTTGCCCATGTCCCCCCAAGGTATATTATACATTTACATGTATATGTATGCCTGTGTGTACATATAATGTGTGTTTTATGTACATGATGCACATGCACATGTATTTGTATGTGATGCACATCATGTACATGCATATGTATTTTGTGTCTGTGCACATTGTTGTACAAGCATTGGTATTATACATTATATTGTCTGTGTATATGTATGCATATACGTATGTATATTTATGTATATAGATGTTTCTGTGTAGTGTGTATATGTGTGTATATATAATATGCTTATATGTATAGGTGAATATACATATACACAAATCTGTTTCTCTGTGTATAGGTGTGTACATGTTGTACATGTACATGTATATGTATATATCATAGTATATGTATATTTGTGCATGTGTATACATATCAGTTATGTTGTAACAATGGTTCATGTGTGTTGTATTTGTGTGTGTATGCATACATGTGTGCATATGTATATACTGAGGTATCACTTACCACACTGGTATTGTGGGCAGCAGTGAAGCGGGCTGTAACCTACAAATAATTTTTCAGTACTTTTGCAAATTGGAATATCGGTTTCACACAAAGTCATGTCACAGTCTGAGGGGAAAAAAAAATGAGGTCTAGACTTTAATGAATGTAAGAGTAGATCATCTCAATCTAACCTGGAGGAACAAGTTATTTCTAACACATATGTACATGCCCCCCAAATAAATAGAATGTAAAAGGAAGAGAAAGTATCCCCAAATATCACAGTTCAGAAAGTGAAGGTCATTTCAGGACATTTGGATTTTCATCCATTGATGATCATATAGAAAACTCCTTCCTGAATGTGAATATTTTTCTTTTAAATAACAATTGGAAGCAAGCTTCTACAAAGCTTGCTTTTGGACAGCAAAGCTGGCCTTGAGGAAAGGCCCAAAGATAAGTGTCTCAATTCTAGTGCCACACAAAACAGAGGCAAGATAAGGAGCCAGTGAACACCTGCTTTCCAGAAAGAATGTCCACTTTCCTTGGAAGCCAAAATCCACCTGCTGCATACATACCACACACTTTCTTTGGACAGCAGGACTGCATGTCTGTGATGGTGATGACCACTTCGCCTTCTCTTTCACAAGTTGGCGAAAACTCTTCATTACAGTCAGGCTCCAGAGGAGTTACGTTTCCATTTTCCAAACACTGATAAAGGCAGCACCCTTCCTCTGACCCATTCCAAACCTCTCCAGGAGAGCGGGGCTGGCCCTTATTGTCAGTACATGCTAACAGAAATAAATGGTGTTATAACTGCTCTGATCTGATTACTACAAAAGGGAAAAAAAATACATCTACAGGGTTTTTAGTTCTACATTCTAATGTAGTACAAAAGGCAATGTCATCAGCTCAAGTTCCCTGCCTAAGCTTTATAAAAGAGATAAGGTGTTGTCTAGAAAAAAAGAGTACTGGCCTTGGAGTCAGAACAATGTGGGTTTGAATCCTGCTTCTGACATTTATAAGCAGTGTGATGGACAAATCAGCCAACCTCCCTGAACCTATGTTTTCTCATCTGTGAAATGGGAGAGTACAGTACCTGCCTCACAGTTGTATAATGGTCAAAGCAGAAGTGCTTTTCACAACTTTAAGGATTACACAGATGCCAGCTATTATTGCTGGTCTTAAAGTCTTATCTTTTTCCATACGATAAAACTTTTTCTTTGGTACATAGCCACAAATTTTCTTTCCTAAGATTTCTGGGATGTTTTTTCTTTTTTTTATGAATAAGTCAAGTCAAATCAAGTCAACAAACATTTATTAAGAGCCTACTATATGCCAGGCACTGTGCTAAGTGCTGGGTTTACAAAGAAAGGCAAAAATGAAAACACAAGACAAAAAATACCCTGCTCTCCAGGAGCTTGTAGTCTAATGAGGAAAACAGCATGCAAAATAGCTATGTATGAACCAGATATAGACAGGATAGAATGGAGATAATGTCAGCCAGTATTAAGGGGGTTTGGGGAAAGGCTTTACGCAGAAGGTGGAATTTTTGCTTTGGCCTGAAAGCCAGGAGGCAAAAATGGGGAGGGGGAAAATTTCAGGTATAAGGAACAGCCTATTAAAATTCATCAAGTCCAGAGATGGAAGAGGCCGGCATCACTGTACTGCTGTGTGTGTGTGTGTGTGTGTGTGTGTGTGTGTGTGTGTGTGTGTGTGTGTGTGTGTGGTGTGTGTGTGCGTTTGTGTGTGAGGAAGTTTGGGTGGAAGAAGGCTGGAAATGTAGGAAAGAGTCAGGTTATAAAGATTTTTAAAAGCCAAACAGAAAGTTTTATATTTGATCCTAGAGGTGATGGAGAACCAGTGGAGTTTTGGTTTTTTTAATTGGGGAAGAGAAGAGAGAGAGGCATGGTCAGATTTGCTCTTTAGGAAGACAGAAGTGACAGCTGAGTGGGGAGGATAGACTAAAGGCAGTAGAGGCTTGAGTGGGGAGATCAACCACAAAGTTACAACAGTAGTCCAGGTGTAAGATGATGAGAGTCTACACCTGGGTAATGATGGTGGTATTTGAAAGAAGGGGGAGTACCTGAGAGATGTCCAAAGGTAGAATCAGCAGAACTTGGCAACTGATTAGATATGAGAGCTGGGAGACAGTGATCTGTGCAGGCCTGGATTGCAAGCCTGGGTGATTGGAAGGATGGTAGTAACCTCAGCAATAAAAAGGGGGTCAGGAAGAAGGAAGAGTTTAGGGGGAAGATAATGAGTTCAGTTCTACAAATGCTTAGTCTAAGATGCATAAAGGATAACCAGTTTAAGATGTCCAAAAGGCATTTGGGGTTGTGACTGAAGTTCATGGGAGAGGTTAGGGCTGGATAAACAGTTCTGAGAGTCAACTGCATAGAGAAAAAATAATTGAATTCCTGGGAATGATAACAAATAGTCTTTTATGCATTTTAATTTTGTAATTTGATCAATTTTTATTTTATCAAGAAATTCATAGTAAATCACAGCTCTGCTCTTTTCTTTCTGTATGAACCTGTGAGAATAAATTAACCTTTTGGGCTTCAGTTTCCTTGTCTGTGAAATGAGAGGCGGGGGCGTCAGGCTCACTGAATCTAATTCATTCCACTTACGAACTACAGGATCATAGACTCATAGATCTAGAGTTAGAGATCATCTAGTGTAACTTTTTTACATCATAGAGAAGGAAGGAAACTGAAACCTGTAAAGGTTATGTGACTTGTCCAAGGTCAAACCTAAAATATAAAACCAGGATTTAAACCCTGAAGCTCTAACTGTAAATCTGGCCCTCTTTCCACTCTTCCATGCTTTCTCCCTAAATCTATGAAACTGATATTTTGAAAATGACAAATTGCTACAAATAAACAGAATTAGAAATAAGGAGAAAATGACTTTAAAATTTTAAGGTCATGGTACCTCTTCTGTAAAATAAATAAATATTTATTGTCACAATGGTTTAGTTGATTGAAAGCTGAGCCCTGACTTCAAGGCTGGGTGACTCCAGGCCTCTGAGAGGTTCAAGGTTCTCATCAGTAAAATGGGGGTGATGATAATAATAGCTTTTTGAGTTGTTATGATAATCCAAGATAATTCAGTATATCCCAAACTATGCTAAGATATTTGGGATACCCCATATATGTAAAATGCTTTGTTGCTTTTATTATTGCATAATTAAGTAATGAGTATAGGAAGTTATAGTATAATGGAATGGAAACTTCCTTTGGAGCCAGAGGACCTAGAATCAGGTTCTGCTATGCTGCTTAGTATCCATGTAACCATGAATAGATCATTTAATCACTCTGAGCATCAGCTTCCTTATCTGTGAAATAGGTATGCTAATAAATACTAACATCAACCTTACACAGCTTTTATGATGATAAAATAAAATGATGTCAGGAAAGGGCTTTGTAAGCTGTTAAACACTATATAAACACAAAATCATGCCTACAATGTAGATATTTTATTTTTCTTTTTTATAGACGTTTTATTGTGGAAAAAGTATGAGCCTTTTGACACAGTGACAGAAGTAGAGACTCCAAAAGCAAATAAACCTTTGCATTCCCCAGTGTTGAACATGCATCATTGTTGCCCAATTTCACTAAACCTAAAGGGAACATACATCACCACACCTATATGCTCAACAGAGTGTGTCCATGGGTTTTGTCTTCTCTTGTGTACACAATTTTTTAAATGTCAAGCTTGTTTCTAATGTGTATTTCATTTCCAACACCCTTCCTCCCCAACTTGTCATTCAATAGCTACATCCTAGTTGTTCTGTCTGTGTAGGATTCACCTCATTTGACCATCTAACCTAGGAGAGGTAGTATGGTGAAGTGAACAGAGTGCTGAACTTAAGAGTCAGGAAAACTTAAGTTCAAATCCTACCTATGGCACCGGGTGACCTTGTGTAAGTCATTGAAACTGTTTGGTTATCAGTTTCTTCATCTCCAAAATGAATGGGTTGGATGGAAGACCTGTAAGGTTCCTTCTAGTTCTAAATTTATGATCATTATCTATGATAATCTGAAACCTGATTCTACAATAGCAAGAAAAGATAAGAGGTCCATAAAATTAATGGTTTAACATGGACAACGTTGAGCAGCAAGTCCTTCATTTTGTACTATTTTTATCTGCTGACATGATGAAGAAAAACTGACTTGAGAAGTAGATGAAATGTCTTCTGTTTAGATGTGAGGCTGACAAGAGAACCTCTCACCTTGGAAACTAATCAAGCTTCTACCTCATTTAAAGTCATGTCAAGGAAATGATGTTTTTCCTGCCCCCACCTTCACTCTTCCCCCCCCCACTTTTATCTCCACTGGCTCCAAGTCCATTCCTAAGTGTTCTAGATAAGGAAAAGTTAATGTAACTAGTTTTTTAAATGAAATGCTTGCAAAATATCTTTGCACTGCTACTCACCACATCTTTCTTCTTGAATACAAATAATAGAGTCTGGCCTGTGAAGAACAGTTCCATTTGCACACACACAATCTTCTCTTAAAAGTTGGCAAGATGACTCTTCAAAGAACCATTTGTTCTGACATGTTTTGGCTGCACAAGATTGAGCACAAGGCAGATATTCCATCCCTTCGGGACAACTCAAAGCTGTAGGTAAAACAACAGCATGTGACGGCGATGCAATTCAATTCAAAAGAATACACATTTATTAAGCATTCACTTAACTATTTTTCCCAAATGAAATGACACTAGAACCTTTAGTAAAATCTGGCAATTTTCAGTCAGTGATAAATAACTACTGTGAAGTCACAGACAAGTCGTAATTTCTTTAAAAAGTCAGCAAGTTGTATATGTAAATCCCTGTTGTAGGTACTAGGGACACCAATGAAATAATAAAATGTCCCTGACCTCAAGGACCTTCCATTCAACTGGTGATTTTCCTAGTGATAAAAAAGAAAATGAATGATTTAAATTCTTGGAAAAATGGAATCAATTTTTCCACTGAAATAAATGTGTGTGGTTGAGAGCCAGCATGGTGTAGTACAGAGGTTTTAACCACCCAATCCACTGGCCCTGTGCAGCCTGTAACACTCCTGAAAGCAGTATGAACCAGATTAAAATGTAATTGGGAAATATTTAATGAAATAAGTAAAAACACAATAAAATATAGTTAATATTACATTTTAAAATTAGTAGTCACTAATCCATTTGAGTTTGACACCATTTCTATAGCAGTAGAGACCTATCCTTATATCCAGCAAGATCGGAGTCTAAGTGTCTCCTATGATACATAATGACTGTACGACCTGGAGCAAGTCACTGAACCTGTGAGCCTCCGTTTCTTCTTTCGTTCACTGGGAATAATGATAGCACCTTCTTTACAAGGCTGTTGTGAGGTTCAAATGTGATCATGCCTATAAAGTGCCTGGCAAATGGTAAAGTACTTTGTAAGAGTACTTGCTATTATTATTGTTATTATTATCGCAATCATTATTATTATTAACTGGTATTCCTTTACTAAAGCCTGTCTTCAGTGTTTTATCATGGCATAGAGCTGGCCCTGCTTGGGCTGCTGAAGAATGTGTCAGTGGAGTGCAAATTTTGACAGGTCTAGCCAACTGAGAAAGGTTTGGCTAAGTTTAGAGAGTTAATACCATACTGACATCAAAATGATATATTTTTTAGCCACAGTCATTTCTGAATATCATCTTCTAAATCATGGAGGAGTTGCAATCTGCATCAGTGGAGAGAGTATCCACAGTAAGGAAATTACAAATCCTTGAAGTACTGAAGTTGAAACATATGTATTCTCTGGTATTAAGAAGAAGCATCACAAAGAAATCAGTCACCAAGTGGGTATTGAGCATCCATTTCCAGCACTAAGCTAAGTTCTGTGACAGTTGAAAAAAGAAATATAAGCTGTTCTTAGCTATTCATGTTTCAGCTTGATCTAGTTTTGTCTAAATGAAATTTGAATAACAGGCATCTAATGTATAGCTTCAATGTAATTTGCATCTAACAGGAAATAAAGGCTGCAGCGTCTCTGCTAAATATGGTCAGGAGTAGCATACTTGAAATATGCTTTAGAATTACATACATGTTTTTGGCCAGAAGAGAGAGAAGATCATTGCAAATAGAGTTAAGGTTAAACCTTTCATTTTGAAAGAAAAAAATTAATAAGGACTGCATAACACTTAGACTGAATAAGTCCATTTCTACCATGTTTTACAGTTTTTGCTGATTAGCAGCAAGATGACAAAGGCAGAATTTTTTAAGTTTTTATGCTAAAAGATGTAATATTATTTTAGAAATAGAAAGCACCACCATTTTAGAAAAGCATTTCTATGGGCCTACTATATGTTTAGAGAATAACTGCCTGTCCTGATTACTTACAACAATAATCTGATGTTCTCCATTGAATGCAGATATCATATTTGTTGCACAAAGCTACATATGCAGACAATACATCACATTCATACTTCCAAAAATAGGTATGGTTGATCCACATCTTCTCACAAAACTCCTCTGGCAAAACCTAGAGATGGGGTGTTGGGAGCAGGACGTGAAGAGAGATGCTTTAGTTGATGCTAGGTAGGACTCTAATTGCACTGAGGTTGCTTTGAGTTGCATGCATGTATTGCAAGTAAAAAATCATTATTGATCCTTTTAGTATAGGTATTCTAAACCTAGAATTTGTGAACTTATTTTTTAATATTTTAATAACTGTATTTAAATATAACTGGTTTCTTCTGTATTGTGTGAATTTAAAAACATTATTCTAAGAAATAGCTCATAGATTTTACCAGACTGATAAAAAAAAGGAAAAAAAAGGTTAAAGGCACCCCCCCACCCCACACTGAAGCATCATAGACTCAAACAGATGATCAGATATTTGAAAACATTAAGTTGTCTTTGGTTTATGGTGATAAAAAAAGCATACTGGGTAAGATATTTATCACTTAGGTCATTTCACATATACTCATCATCATGCTAGAAAAGAGATGGTTAAAAAAAGTAGATTTACACATATGGCTTTATGATACTGCCCCTTTTCTAGTTCTATCTTCTCCAGACACTAACTTAAATTGTGGTCTGCTGTGTAGCTCCTGAAATATGCTTTAATTATACATGGTATCACTAATTAAATTTTGGTATGAAATATTCTTCAAAAATGACTGTTAATGTTGAGCTATGTGAATAAATTATGTAACTTTGTCAGGTCTAGACATAATTATGTTTTTATCCCCTTTAGCATCTACAGAGTGCCTCATTGAAGAAAAAATTAAAACCTGAACAATTTAGCTCTTCCCTTTTTAACCCCTCTTCTACTTTTCTTCTCTTTTCTACCATGATATTCCCATCACTCTTCACTTCTCCATATCCTGTTATTCTTCCTTCAAGGTCCATATTTTCCTCTAATCTAGATTTGATGGTCCTTTTTGATCTTGCTTTCCGTATTCTTTCATTTACTTCTAGATGTCAAATTCATTTGTAATTACTCTTTAACCCTGCTATTATTTTAAAGATAGAATATGCTGTTTGGGGCATATGTAATTCATATAAGCTCAAGAAATTAGAAACATAGAAAATTTACTATACTAAGCATGTGCAAAGTTGTAGGGGATGGGCAAAGGAGAGATTAAACATCAGTCCTGTTCAAAATTCCTAAATGCAATGGATCCATCATCTTATTGAAGACTTTTTATTTCAGTGGCACATATTGTAATCTATTCTCATCTGTTCAGACTGGGCTGCTCTTATTTCCCTTAAGTCTACCCATAAGCCTGTCATGTAAGGTGAAGTGATAAAGACCTTCTTTAGTACTGTTAACACTCTATAGACACTACTACAAGACACAGGCTGCCCAAGTTTATTCTGGATTTTGTTCTGGATTTTTATTTCAATTTTGGTCCTGATCTGTTATTTTATTGGTGTATGTAACTCCAAGAGGCAATCCCATCTACCAAAGTAGATTAGTAACTCTGCAACTCAATTTCTTGTAGCATTGCTTGAGAAAGTTGTCTGGAGACCTGAGAGTTTAAGTAACATGACCAAAGTCACACACATAGTGTGTGTCAGAGACAGGACTAGAAGTCAGATCTTCCTGATCCTGAGATCATCCCCTTATCTATAATACCATACTATATCATGTTCTAAATTTCTTAAGAAAATTACCAAATTTTTCATCATCTCAATTTTTAGATTGGGCTATCAATGGAGATTGGGGCAGCTGGGTGGCCCAGTAGATAGAGTGCCAAGCATGAACTGGGAAAACTCATCTTCCTGAGTTTAAATCCAACCTCAGACATTTACTAACTATGTGACCCTGGGCAAGTCACTTAACCTTCTCTGCCTCAGTTTCCTCATCTGTAAAATGAACTGGAGCAGGAAATGGTAAAATATTATAGGACCTTTGTCAAGAAAACCCCAAATGGGGTCACAAAGAATCAGACACACCTTTAAAACAACTATCAATGGAGATTCATGGGGTAGCTAGGTGGGGCAGTGGATAGAGCACTGGCCCTGAAGTCAGGAGGACCTGAGTTCACATCTGGCCTCAGACCAAATACGTAACACTTACTAGCTGTGAGACCCTGGGCAAATCACTTAACCCCAATTGCCTAAAAAAAAAAAAAGGAGATTCGTGACTCTTACTGTTTTAAAGTCATCATGATCAAGTAGAAATAGAGCTGGCCTTGAAGCCAGAAAGATGTGGAATCAAGTCTTCCCTCTGACATATATTGATTGTGTGAAGATAGCAAGTCACTTCCCCTCTCAGTACTCTAGGTAACTCTCTAAGACTATAATTTTCGGAGAAAGTGCTGACCTGAGTTGGTAGAGGGAGTTTCCTTTCCTGACAGTTCTCAATACTAATGAATCCATTTCCTTTATACCATGGTTTCTCAACTTTTTTTTTTTATATGTGTGTTATAGACCCCTTTGGCCAACTGGTGAAACCTATGGACTCCTTAAATTTCTTTTATTCATAATTTAAGGAAATTCTAAATCTCAGTCAAAGGTTAACGAAATTAAAGGTATACTTTTTTCCCATCTAAGTGCTTGGACCCCTTGTATTCTATCCATAGATCTCTCTTCTTAACCTCAGGTTAAAAGCCCCTGTTTTATACGCAGGATAGGCCCTCTGGGATAGTTCAGATGTCATCCTCATAAAAACAAAGGCAGGAATGCAAAAATTTCCCTGTTCCATTCCTGGCAGTCTGTAATGAACACTTAAATGAACTGGATGTCTTTGGTCATGATCTCTTCCTTCACCCCTGTTTTACTGTAAGAAGTGGCCTTTTCTCTTTGCCAATGCAAACCTTCTACATGCATAAGTGATCCCATTTCTTCCTGTCTTCTGCAATAGATTTCACCTTCTATCACCCTTCTTTCTCTACTATTCAAAATCTCTCTTTCTGCTGTGTTTTCTTATTCCCTAAAGACATACTCATGTACTCCCCATCCTCAAAAAACCCTCACTTGATCCATCCATCCTGCTATCTTCCCACATGGGTCCTCCCTTTTGTGGCTTACCTGGAGAAGGCCTCCATTGACTTTCCTCTTACTCTCTTCTGAACTCTTTGCAGTCTGACTTCCAACCTCATCATTCAATTGAAAATGCTCTCTCCAAAATTATTAATGATCTCTTAATTGCAATTCAAATGGCCTTTTCTCAGTCCTCATCCTTCTTGACCTCTCAGCAGCCTTTGACACTTTTGTTGATCACCCTTTTATCCTCTCTTCTCTCTATATTTTTCCGGTTCCCTCCCAGCTATCTGTTGACTTTTTCTATGTTCTCTTTGGTGAATCTTCACCTAAATTTCATGGACTAACAGTGGGGATCCCCCAAGTCTCTCCTGGGCCCTCTTTTCTTCTCCCTCCATACTATTTCACTTGCCAGAAAAAAATCTCCCTCCTCATCTCTGCCTCCTAACTTCCCTGGCTTCTTTCAAGTTTCAGCTGAAATCTTACCTTATACAAGCCCTTGTCTCCCTCATTAACTGCAAACTCCTTGAGATGAGGAACTATTTGTTTTTATTTTTTTACTTCTTGCCTTTCTTTGTATCCCCACTGCTTAACACAGTGTCTGACACATAGTAGGTGCTTAATAAAGGTTCACTGACTGATTGACTGGATTTTAGATGCCATCCTTCTTACTATGACATAGGATAATTCTGATTTCCATAGGAAACCAGCACCTAAAAAGTAATATATTAGTTATTATTCTCAGTTGTGCTAGTTTACTGTTATTTTTAATCAACTTACTTTTTTATGGCACGGAATGAAAGCTGTTTTCTTTAGCAGCTCTACACAGTGACTACAATCATCTTCAGTACAATTTCTCACAGGTCTTCTTGTTGTAACATCAAATAATTTATCAATTTCCCAGCTTTCAATAAACAATCCAATATCATCCACATTTGTAATGATAGTGCCATTTTGCATCCTTAGATCATCGTCTGGGTCATCATTGCAAACACCTAAAAAGAGGGCATCGCATTTACTGGAAACAAGTCACGAGAGAAAAGGTCATGAAGATCATGAAGATAACTGGGTCACTTTAATATGTGGTTCGGGAAAAATGGGTTTAATAAAATGAATATGGTCCCAGGATGAGAGAACACCCAAAAGGTCTTAGAATGTCCACAAACCTGAACGTATAAGATAAGATATAAAGGAGAAAGAGATAATTTTAGCACTTAAAGAAGTGGCAATGAAAATTCTGATGAGGGCCTAAGGAAAAAAAAATAACCCTGCCATTACAAATGATAAGTTTCAATTGGCTAGAAAACACACATATGTAGAATATCTCCTTTGCCAGTCTCACCTTTGATGTTTACCCCTTGTGTGCTCTAAGGCAGTTCATTTAACTTCTCTGGGCCTTAGTTTCTTACTCTGTAAAGGAGAGGGTGTGGGAAGAGGGAGGAGTTGAAGGAGGAGGAGAAGGAGAGAAGAAAAAGAAGGAGGAGAAGGAGGAGGAGGGGGAAGAAGGAAGAGGAGAAAGAGGAGGAAGAGGAGGAGGAGGGGGGAAAGGATGAGGAGGGGGGAGAAGTAGAAGGAGGAAGAGGAGGAGGAGGAAGAGGAGGAGGGGGAGAAGGAGGAGGAGGAAGAGGAGGAGGAGGAGGAGGAAGAGGAGGAGGAGGAGGAAGATTTGACCCCAAGTCCCCTGACCCCAGAGTCACTGTGCTTTTCACTATGCTTCCCTGCCTCCTTATGTGATCTAGACTTATGATTTCATTACTATGGGGAAATCTTAATATGGAAATTCCCTTTATAATGCAGATAAGCAACACTTTTTTTGATCCATCCATCCTGCTATCTTCCCACATCGGTCCTCCCTTTTGTGGCTTACCTGGAGAAGGCCTCCATTGACTTTCCTCTTACTCTCTTAACAGAGTTATGTGAGGACACTTGGAGATTAAATGACTTACCCTGGTCAAACAGAATGGTAAACTATCACTTTTTAAATCAGAAAATCAGGGCACAGGGACAACATTCAATTCAATTTAAGAAACAGTAATTAAGAACCTAACGTCTATACAATACCATATGCCAGGTGATACAGACTATGACAAAATGAATAAAACATAATCCCTGGACTCAAGGATTTACAATATAGTGGACAGGGAGAAGGGGAAGTGACCACAAATAATGAGAGCACAAAGCATAACAAATGTAACTTCAGTAAAACAAAAATGTTTTGAAGATATTGAGATTTAAGAAGCAATTCTCACCACAAAGTCCTTCTGTGCTGTGATTAGCAATTGGTGAAAAGTCATAGTGAATATCTATAATTCCTGTAATATGTGCCCATCGAATTCTAAATCCTCCTGGAGTGTTTATGACATACATAGCACCAGTATCCTCAATAGACAAGCCATTCTCTGAGAAAGGTAATGATTCAATGATAGAATCCACTTCTACCTAAAACATTCCCAAAATACCTTATTAGTAAAATGGAACTGGTTATACACACATCAGTTTAAATCAAGATATTCCATACTATTTCCTTCACATCACTGGTCATCTTTGGGGTTTTTTTGTTTGTTTGCTTTTTTTCATGAGGCAACTGGGGTTAAGTGATTTGCCCAGGGTCACACAGCTAGTAATCACTGGTCATCTTTGAAATTCATCTTTGGACTCCTGACCATACTGCAATATCAGAAGATATTGGCATTAAAAGATGAGCATTTTTTCACCAATGGGAAGCTTGGAGTTATCAATCACATTTTGTAATTTCCTAAAGGCAATCTAAGCCCCCCTTATCTCCCTGTTCAATCTGGATCCATCTCATAGTTTATTTGCAGAGTTTGTCAAAGAAATATATGCTAGTCTAGATAACAGGCATTCTTCATCCACTTGTTTTTTCTTACGTAGATAGCTAGACCAAATTCTATTCTCTTGTGTCTCATACCTAAAAAAATTCTTTGTGATTTGAATTTGTTCTCCCAATTATTTTCAGGATTTTATTTAGCAACTACTTCTATTTTCTTAAAACTCACTTTTCTTCTACATTATATGCACTTATATTTTAGGTTTTTTTTTTATCTGCTGTTGAAGGCTTCATTATCTCCTATTGTTATAATAGGTATCATTTATATAGTACTCTAAGGTTTGCTTTATATACATGACCTTACTTGATCCTGACACAAGCCCAGTTAGGTTGGGCATACAGGTATCACCAACATTCCCAATTACAGGGGGAAAGTGGAGTTCAAAGAAGGTAAAAAATTTATCCATGGTCAAATGGTGAATAAGTGTCAAAGACAGGATTTGAGCCTATATAATACAGACTCAAAATCTAGCATGTCTTTCACTGTATTCTGCTACCTCTGGAGATGTGACTCTGCAAATTTGAATATGAATATCTTCAATGAAATGAAAGGGAAGGTAAAATTATCGCTTTATTAATTCTGTAGTTTCCTTTTAGTAAAATCACTTAGGTGATGAATCTCCTACTGTCTCCTATAGTCAAAAGTGTTCTCTATGAATTCACAAATGCTTGAAAGTGTTATCAGAAGCATCTGACAAGGTACTGTACATACAGTGGCAATAAATTAATGCTGTTGACCTAAAATGGCATTTAAATGGAAAACATAATCAGTGAACAAACTCTGGTATATACTCAAAAAAAGACAGTGTGGTATAATGGAAAGGGAATTGAATCACAAGTCTAAAAACCCAGTTTCTAAGTATCAACAGCGATCAGTTGTGAGACTATGGCCAATTGATCTGGCTTTGTCTTGGTTCTCTTGTCTCTTGAGCAAGGAACACAAAAGCTCTTAGATCCCTTTCAGCCCTAAAATTCTATGGAGCTCCAAATGTTTGTGTGTGTGTGTGTGTGTGTGTGTGTGTGTGTGTGTGTGTGTGTGTGTGAATGGAACTATAAAATCCTCAGTCTAAAATATTAAGAATGAAAGATACAAACAGTAATCAGTCTAAATTATGGAGTGGTCTCTATGTTATATGCAACTTGTTACCCTCATGAATATAAAATAATTAGAATGAAGCTAATCCTCACCAAGTGAACCCTTACAGAGGGAGAAGTGATCACCAAGAGTAAGCAAGGGTTTATTAAGAAGAAATGATGGCAGGTTATGCTTATTGCTTTTGGTAGCTTCTAGATGAGTAGGATCATTAGATTTAGAGCTGGAAAAGACCTTAAGTGCCATCTAGTGCCATCTCCTTAGTTTATGAATAAGAAAACTGAAGCCTAGTTACTTGCCTAGGGATACTCATGAAGTAAGGAACACATGGGATTTGAACCCAACTTTTCTGATTCTAAATTCATTGCTCTTTCTACTATGCCATGCTAGTTTTAATAAATTAGGGAAGTGCCATGGGCATAAAAAGGCATATTTCAGCAAGGCTTTTGACAAAGTTTGTCACCACATCTTTGTTTTGAAGATGGATAGATGTGGACTGGCTGTGTATGGGTGTCAAACAGCCAACTGACCAGGCTCAAAGAATGGATATTAATGAATTGACTGTCAGCCTGGAGAAAGGTCTTTAGGGAAATGTTTTGGGTATGTGTCCATGGATCAATTCTGTTTGATATATTTTTAATTATGCCTGTAAAGGACTAGATGTCAGTTGACAAGTACTTATTAAGCACCTACTATATGCCAGACACTGTGCTAAAATCTGGGGATACAAAGAAAATCAAGCTCCCCCCCCAAAAAAAAGAAAACCTTTGCTTTCAAGGAATTCACATTTTAATGGGAGAGACATTCTGCAAACAACTATGTATCAATAGAATAATTTGTAGATAATCAACAAGAGGAGGCATTAAGTGGACTGACAAAGGAGTTTAGCCCAGAGTAAAGAGATGGAGTTTCTGGTATAAGGAATAATAGCAAGGAGGCCAATGTTGGCAGATTGCAGAATACCTGAGGACAAAGGGATGAGAGTAAGGTATAAGAAGTCTAGAAAGTTAGGTATGACACAAAGCTAGGAATAGCTAATATCCCCAAAATCCTCAACTACAGAACAATGGCTAGAATTGTAGATTGAAATTAATAAGATGAAATATAAAGTCTTACTCTTAATTTTTAAAAAAATCAACTATATGAATAAAGGAATTGAGAGGGGTGGCTAGAAAGGAGTTCGTATTTAAAAGGTCTACATTTCTGATTGATTGGCGGGGAGGAAGCAAATAAAATCTTATGTTAGATTTAGAGACGAAGAATGTCCGTATTGAGAAAGTGATAGGCTTACTTTATTCTGCCTTGGTCAAACCATGCTTAAAGTTCTAGCCACTGCATTTTAAGGACATTAACATTCATGAGCTAAAGCAAATGAATCCACAAGGATGGTGGAGGGATGTAAATAAGGACTGGTTGAAAGAGCTGGGGACAGTTAGTTTGAAGAAGAGAAGACCCAAGGAGGACATGGACTGGTACTTTCAAAGTCTTCAAATATTGGTAGAACTATATGGAAGAAGGGGTAGAGTTGTTCTTTTTGGCCCTGAAATGCAGAAGAAAGACCAGTGCATGGAACTTACAAGAACACAAATTCTGGATTAACCTAAGGGAAAACTTCCTAAATCAGAACTTTCCAAATATGAACAGCTCCCCATGCTAAAGGTCTTTAAAAGCTGAGTATCTACTTACTGAGGACACAGAGCACAAGATTTCTGACTTGGGTAAGGACTGGATTGGAGGATTTCTGAAATGCTTTCCAATTCTAAGCATGTGATTCTTTCATCTCACCCCAGGCAATGTCAGTGATAAAAAAAAAAAAGTTTTATTCTCACTTCTTTTTTATACTTTCTGCTTAGTTATAATTGTTACCATTTTAATTTGACCCAAAAGATACTTTGTAATTATTTCTTATGAGCACAGAGCTTTTCTGAGAGACTGGACAAAATACAAAGAGTAAATAAAATCCAGTCTTTGCCATCATGAGGCTTACATTCTAATGTTGTTCAGTCATTTCAGTCATGTCCAACTCTTCATTATTTCATTTGGGGTTTTCTTGTCAAGAATACTGGAGTGATTTGCCATTTCTTTCTCCAGCTCATTTTACAATGAGGAAACTGAGGCAAACAGGGTAAAGCGACTTGCCCAGGGTCACACAGCTATTAAGTGTCTAAAGCCAGATTTGAACCCAGAAAGATGAGTCCTCTTGACTCTAGGCCTGGCACTCCATCCACTGTGCCACCTAACTGCACTTTACATTCTAATTGATGGCTGTGTACACTGATAAACTGAAATTCAGTATCTCTATGTTGTAAAGTTTTGATTAAAACCTTAAATTTAACTTTAATTTTAACTGATATGTACATATAATATTTAAGGATCCCTAAAGTGAAAAGTGAAGTATGGTGAAATGGAAAATGTGCTGAGTTTGGAATGAAGAGGTTCAAATCTACCTCCAATATTTACAGGTTGTCCACTTTAACAAATTCTCCAAGCTTCAGATTTCTCATCTGTTAAAAAAAAAAGGCAGGGGGTGGCGGTGAAACACTTTTGTACCTACCTCCCAGTACTATATTGAGGCCCAAATGAAATAATCTGTGTAAAAACATCTTATAAACAGGAGAAAACCTTAATTAACATTGCTAAATTGGTCTTGAACAAAATCATTTGGATACCTTAATAGCAATGAAGTTCACAGTAGTATAATCTCTTAATCAGAAATATGTGAATTTTTATTTATTACCTTCTATACCATAGCAATTTTCCTACAGCCATTCATTAATTATTATTTCCTTACCTTTCTTGTTAAACGATTGATAAGTACGTTATATGAGAGTGATGTTATATTTAATTTCTTGAAACAAAGGCCTGATGTCTTTGCAGGTGAAACCTTTTTTGGAGAGATTTAAAAAATTGGCAACTTTATGATTTTATACACAATAATGTCTGTAAGTAGAATACATGAAAATTTTAGGTAATACTCACTAGCTTTCTTTTTGAATTTCCAATCTGAAAAAATACAAAAATATATTGTCAAAAAGAATATATTACTAACCACTGTTTTCCCATTAATACTAAATGCATCTAAAATGACTTACATGTAACTGCTTAGGAGTAAAATACAAAAAGGTAAAATGTATAGATAATCTCTTGAGATTTCTCTAGCTCTGAGTTCCTCTGATATTAGAGAATATTCAAATTGAAGCTCTATAAAAAGATGCTATACTGATATTAGTCCTCATGAACAAATAATAAAAACCATTCTTTTCCTCTCTATAGAAATCTTAAGCACAGTGACTGAAGAATGCTGCATATACTGCATGAAATAGCCGATATTTTAGTTGGTTTTACTTTTTTTTTTTTTGCAAAGAGAATTCAATGGAGATCAGCATATGACTGCATATGACAGAATAACTATGATTATAATAAAAAAGTAAAAAAGTCACAAAGTGAATACTAACTTACATGATTAATGGGGCATTTCTCAATATGAGCAATTATGATTTCCCCAGGAATCTGGACTAAGATGTAGGAAGCCATACTATACAGCGCCGCACTATTTCCATCAAATGTAATAATGCTTAGCTCTGACAACATTGAACATCGACCTAAAAAATTTAAAAAAAGTATAGTTAGTCATTATAGTTATAAACTTTTTATGCTTTTAGCATATCCTTTTAGCATTGCAAAGGTACAAATAAAATGATCTTAAGAAGGCATTTTTTATAAAAGAAGAGTTAATTGCTGAAAAATTACAAGTTGTATTTAAAGTAGGAGTCTCAGATTTCAGTTTAAAAATAATTAACTTGATCCAATTACAAAGGACAAATATGGTCCCAAGGAAAAGACGGGGGAAGATAGCTCCTCTCATTCCTTCGCAGAGGTAGAAGGTCCATTGGTGTGGAACATTGCATGTGTCAGATATTTTTTGATGTCTTGATAAGTTTGACCGAGTTTTTTCTTCTTCTTTAAAAAATGCTTTTAGGGGTGACTCTTTGCATCAGGGATACAGAGGGATACAGGGGAAAATCTTGTGGAGGTAAAAACAAAAGATATCAATAAAAGTCTATGAAAAAAGAAAATACTATCTTAAAACATGTCACACAACACTAATGCATTGTTGGCAGAGTTGTTAACTATTTCAACTATTCTAGAGAACAATTTGGAATAATGCCCAAAAGCTATAAAACTGTGCAAACCTTTTGACCCAGCAATATCACTACCAGGTCTGCATCCCAAAGAGATTTAAAAAAAGGAAAAGGGCCTATATGTACAAAAATATTCATAGCAGCCCTTTTTCTGACAGCAAAGACCTGGAAATTGCAGGGATGCCCATCAAGTGGAAAATAGCTGGACAAATTGCTGTATATGATTGTGATAGAATACTATTGTGCTATAAGAAATATAAGAATACTATTATGCTATAAAAAAGAAAAATTCAGAAAAATCTGGGAAGACTTATATGATCTCTTGCAAAATGAAGTAAGCAGCACCAGGAGAACACTGTACATAGTAACAGCAATGTTGTACAATGATCAACTGTGAATGACTTAAGCTATTCTCAGCAATGCAATGGTCTAAGACAATTCCGAAAGACTCATAATGAAAAATGCTATCCACCTCCAGGGAAGGAACAGATGGCATCTGAATACAGATTGAAGTATACCTCTTTTTACTTTCTTTATTTTTCTTGGGGGTTTTTTGGTCTGTTTTCTTTCACAACATAACTAATGAGGAAATATGTTTTGCATGACTGCACATGTATAACCTATACAAAATTGCCTGCATTCTCAAGGAGGAGGGAGGGAAAGAATTTGGAACTCAAAAAATTTAAATAAGCGTTAAAAAATTTACATGTAATATGAAAGAATAATTTTTTTAAAAAGAGTCACACCAGAGCCAGTTGTACTTGCTTTTAAATACAAAGTTCAAACCTCATTCTTTGCATTTTAGCATAAAGCCATCACCACAAATCATCAAATCTCCCACTTAATAAAAGTCTATAGCTTGCTTCAGTATAAAAAAAAATCTATAAATGAAAAATTTTAAATCAACTTGATTTTGACTAACAGACTGGGAAATAATATCTCACTCTTTTGTTACACAGGGGGAGGGGTGTCTTCCTGAAAAGTGCTAGAAAGTATCTGTTTCAATCCATATTTTCAACATACTATCAAAGGCCTCATTATTTAAAAAGGTCTTTCAGCAAATTTTTTTTAAAATGAATTTTGAGGTCAGGTAGGTGGTGCAGTGGATAGAGCACCAGCCCTAGAATAAGGAGGACTTGAGTTCAAATCTGGCCTCAGACACTTGACACTTCTTAGCTCTGTGACTCTGGGCAAGTCACTTAACCCCATTGCCTAGAAAAAATTAATTAATTAAATAAATGTTGACATCTTTTGTTTTTACGTCATCTAAAGTGTCCTTGTCTCCCTCCTCTTCCCTTTCCTAGAGAGCTATCTCACATAACAAAGAAAAAAAAGAGAGAGAGAGAAAACAGCAAAACAAATCAATTCATTGAAAAAAATCTGAAAATGTGTGCCGTTTTCTACACCTATTGACATTGCACCTCTGCAAAGGAGTGGGTAAAGGCACCTTCTAACATCTCTTCAGTGAATCATTTTTAAAATTTCAAAAATAATCACTCTCTGATTTTGTTTTTTAACTTCCAATTTTTTTCTGATGCCATTGTTATTAATGGTTAGGGTTTGGATCATGCTTTCAATGCCCAGAATGTACCACTTCTACTTCTGAATACCGTATCTGGACTTACAAGGGCATTCCCATTCAGGGCAGCAGGTATCATTGTTCACTTGAACAGGCATTCCTCGAAAGCCACAGTCAGGTATGGTTGTGTCCTTTGGGCAACTGCTTGATAGATTGAACAATACCCATTCCTTATTAATACATATGTATTGGTAACAAGTAAATGTAGGTTCCATATATTCTGGCTGTTGTAAAAAAAATAGAAAGTAAAAATAGAAATTATTTCTCTTTCCAAAGCAAACATGATATACATTCACTTTACAAAGCAATTCAACTGAAAAAAAAATTAAGTGTCTAATATGTGCAAGGCATTCAGGTAAGCTCTAGAGATACAAAGAAATAATCCCTGCCTTCATGAAGCTTATACTCTTCCAAAAAAAAAGGGGGATAGAACATTTATAAAAAGAAATAAATACAAATGATACAGAGCATAATGCAATGCAATTTTAAAAGGGAAGGAATACTATAGGTGAGGGGATAATAACTGCTAACACTTATATAGTGATACGAGGTTTGTAAAGAGTTTTATAGATATTATCTCATTTTAAGGCCTCTGGTAGGAAGTAGAACATGAGCTGTGCTTTGAAGGAACCTAGTGATTCTGTGAGGTGAAAGTGAGAAAAGACAGCATTCTAGGCTTAGGAAGCTATTTATAGAAGGGCTAGGAGGAAGGAGAAGGAATGTCATATGCAGAGATCGGGGATCAGACAATTTGACTAGAAAAGAAAGAATGAAGAGAAGTAATATGAAATTAGACCACAAGGGTAAATGGGAGCAGATGGAGGGCTTAAAATGTCAGATTGAGTATTTTATATTTCATCCTAGGAGCAATAAAGAGAAATTTAAGAGTTTTGAGTAGTGATGGGAGAGTGACATTTTTTTTTTGTCTTTTGTGTATTTCAGTTTCTCAGGTGAGTAGATAATGAATTGGAGAAAGCAGAGATTGGAGGCAGGAAGGCCAATTAGAAGGCTAGTGGAAGAGGTGATCAGAGCTTAAGGTTGTGTAAGTAGAGAAAAGGGAGTAGAAAGATATTGTGGAAGTAGGATAAAATTTGGCAATTGATTGGATACAGTGAGGGATAAAGAGGAAGAAAGGATAATGTGCAAATAAAAATGCAAATATGCAAAAATTCAACACAAATCAAAAGTAAAAATTCTAATTGAGATTCTTTCTATAATTTAAAACTTTTACAATATAATCAATTAATTATTTACTAAAAAGCAATGACCCATTTATTTTAGGATAGTGAATATTGGCTTAATCTAAGGTAGCTCTAAAGTTAGAATTTCCTGAAATTACCAAAGTAGTCAGACATCTCTGGTCTCAATTTTTGGGAATGCTTGTATTTGTTTTCAGAATCATCTAGTAATTGCTAATCCTGTATCACTTTTTATCACATCATTTTGACACCTAAACAAATTATTCAAGTAGATTTGAAATGAAATTATAAACTAAAGGTGCCCAAGTATCTCTTTGGGAAACTTCTTTATGCAATAATATATATTTCCAAATGCAAAAGTATGATGGTGTCCAAATAGCAAACTTTATAGATCACAGGATAATAGGTATAGAGTTGGATGGAAGCTTAGAGGTCATCTAAGACCTTTATTTTATAAATGAATTAGCTGAGACATAAAGAAGCTAAGAGATTTGCCCAAGGTCGTATAGGAATTAAGGGGCAAAACTGGGATTATAATTCAGATTATCTACATATTGACAATCTCCCCACTATACCTTGCTATCTCTCTAAATAGTATTAGAGAAAGGATTTGAACCTAGATATTTTGGAGTCTAGGCTGTCCTCCTTCAATATAAATTAATTTTAAATTGTGACCCAAAGACAGCTAAATAGAACCAACACAAATTTCTTTCTACTGAACATGTTTAATTATAGAAACTGGGAAGCATAAAAGCTACCTCTGATTTTAATATAATCTAAAAGCTGTATCTAAAATGTGGTATGAATCATGCCTGAGTCTCTTTTGCCATTATGGAGTCATGTAGAGGATCTTGCTCATTGATTTCAAAGGTGTTTTTCACTTAAACAAATTTCGCTAGTCATAGAGTATGGGGATTATTTGAAGGCATGGATGTTTGTATGAAATATGTCATGCAAATTTCCCTTCAACCAACTGAAAATAACCAAATTACCTATTTGATAAGGGGATTCAAAAATAAAATAAGTCTGCGATGAATACATACAAATGTACATGATGTACATTTCTACTTTTCAGGCAGATATTTATTTATTCAGCAAGATATTTATTTCTTTCCTCTACTAAGGTCCTGCTTTGATATCCTTCATTGTATGGTGGTGACTCCAAATTCTCAAAGGCTAGAAGAACACAGCCTTATCAGGCATTACAACAACTAGGAAAGACTTTGTGGATATGCACTTATAACAAGCTGTACTTCTTCCATCTAAGGACTGGCCTATATTAAGTTCACACAGCCTCATCATTAAAGAGTTAGATAGTCTTGAAGACAGATATTCCTAACTCCAAAACTAGCCATTAATAGTTTCAATAATTCACTTAAAATAGCCAAGAAGCATTTTACTGTTTGAACACCTCTTATACTTTGGAACGCATTATTCTAACATTGCAGGTATATTTTATTTTTACACATTTTATAAAAATGCAATTTCCATTTTGAAATATTTCTTTAAGAGCTGAAAAGTCTTATTCAATAAAAACATTTCTTTCATTGGTGAATTATTTTAATACATTATAGCAGTGGGGAATATATAATAAGTTTGACAAGGAATATTGGAATGAGTTAAGATAATACATGTATCATAAAAATGACAGGCTTATTCATTTGTATTTTAAACAATGGACCACAACAGAAAAAAAGAAGCTAAGCAAATGTCATTGGGAAAATTAGTTGTCAATATTGTGGGAAAGTTATTTAGACTATCATCTTACAACTTACTCCCAAAAATTCCAGTTGGATGAGTGATTTAAACATGAAAAAAAAAACCCTACAATAAATGAAAAAAATGCAGAATAAAGTATCTATCTAAATTATGGAGGGGAGATTTTTTTGATTTGACAAATAGAAGAGGCTTATTAAGGACATGACAGATATCATAGACTACATGAAAATAATCAAAAAATTGCAATAAAAACAACATAATTGAAAGGAATAGAAAATAACCAATTGAGAAAAATATTTGTGACAAGTATTAGATAAAATATCATCTAAAACCATAAGGAATAACTAAGAAGTCACAGTGATAATTCCCGGTCCACAATGTATAAGTTGTCAAAGGAAACAGACAATTATAAAAAAAAAAAGCTCAGATTGTGAACAATCCTTTAAAAATACACTTAACCTTACTACTTATCAAATAGAATCAAATAAAGCCATTTTAATGTACCACCTCATTCCCACTGAATAGGCAAAAATAATTAAAAGCAACAAAACTCAAGGGAAGAATTGCAAACATAAAAAAATGCATTTTTAGAGAGCCAATCTGGCAGTTCATACTACAAGTTACAAACATAATCATGCTCTTTGATCCAATGATTTCATTGTTGGGAATATACCCTGAAAATCTGATTTTGAAGAAAAGCTCTTCAAAGATTTTCATAACATTGTGTTAAATTGATTTTTTAAAAACTGGAAACAACCTAGCAAAAAGGAAATGGTCAAATAAATGTTGGTATATTAATGTCATACTTTAATAAAATTAAGATCTCTCAATATAAGGAATAAAATTAACCTGGGAAGGATGATATTAATGATGCAATCAACAAAAGTAGTAGCAGAAGAATAGGCCACATAAGAGGAAAAGTAAATGAGAATAAATAGAGAAAGAATCTTTATTAAGCAATTAGTGCATGTCAGGGAATGAGCTAAGTCATGAGAATACATATACAAACAGAACAAAAGACAGCCCCTAAACTGTTATAATACTATATATATATTGAAATTAATTTAAATATAGTTACTAAGCAAGATTAATTCATTTACTAGATTCAATATCCAGCTTTTAATAAAACTTTATTTTTAAAAAGAAAGCAAGCCACAGGGTTTCAACAAAACCAAAACTGAGATAGAACCTTTGGTACAATAATAAAGAGAAATGTGTAACTAGTTGAGATATATTACCACACATTCTGAAGCAGGAGTAGGAGCCTCCTCTTCTGGGCACTCAGATGGAACGTGTGTGGCAGGAGGCACTGTAGAGAAAATGAGTATAGAAATAGATCAAGTTATTATCCCCACTGGAGCCAGGTAAGGCTGATCTGAGAATTTAAAAGAAATTGTCTTTATGGTTGGTGATGTCAATTGTATCACAAAAGACTCCTTAGTGGTTACAGAATTTGGATTTTGAGACATTTCCTAACAAATCTCCTAAGCCTGACTAAATTCCTTCAGTGAATTTGCAGAATGTGCCATGGTCATTTCTGAAATGCATATAGGAATCTCATTTTTTTAAAAATTCATTAATTTATTTTTAGTTTTCAAAATTCACCTCCACAAGATTTTGAGTTCCAAATTTCCTCCCCATCTTGTCCCTCCCCCCACCATAAGATGGCACACATTCTGAGTACCCCTTCTCCTAATCTGCCCTCCCTTCTATCTCTCCCCCCTTCTCTTATCCCCTTCCCCTTCAATTTTCCTATAGGGCAGGATAGATTTCTGTACCTCATTTCTCTATATCTTATTTCCCAGTTGCATGTGAAAACAATTTTTTTAACTGTTGTTTTTAAAATTTTGGGTTAGGAATCTCATTATTAAGGAAGTGCTTATTAGGAGTGACAATGACTGGGGCTGTGGACTGAGTAGTCATTAAGTGGTATTTTGGAGTAGCTTTACATAGACAACAAAACTGTGAAATATGTTTCCATGATGTCTCCAACAGTTTTTAACTCCTAGTCATTGGACATATTCCCAAAATACTCAAGGTTGAACAAATAGCTAATTTAAAAGTAAATAAGGGAAATATATGCCTGAGAGAAATGAATCCACTTCCCAATGCTGAAAAAAGGAAAGAGATATTTTGCACTTTTACTTAAAGACAATGCAGCCATCTACATTTAGCTCTCTACATATACTACAATGATTTTTGTAAAGTCATTTTCTACCATTTAAAATTTATAAAATTGCTCAATTAAGGCATGATTTCCTTTTGCCTGGACCTTGAGCAGGATTTATTGTTATTAGATGGCAGTATCTTTTAGCCAACTGTAAAGTTTTTGTTCATTTCAATCAGTCACGGTAAAGTCTTAGAAGAAAGTGATGAAGATAATTCTAATACATTCCAGTGTTAAATAAGGGAAAATATTGATGGTATAGAAATTAAGAAAAACACTTGGTGTGTATGATGGTAGGGAGGGGAGGATGGAAGAGGGTCCAAGGTTAATTAAAAGCTACAAAGTTCTGTAAGTGCTTCAGAACACAATGGTGAGGCAAAAAAATACTTGTACACAGCATGCTCTTAGATTGCTAACCACTTAATTAATAGAACTGAGAGCTGAAATACACCTTAAACATTTGGCTCAGGGTTCTTAACCTTTTTCTCTATGTCATGGACCCTTTGGCCGTGGTCTGGTGAATCCAGACTTCTTCTCTGAATTATGTTTTTAAATACATAAAATAAAATATATAGGATTACAAAGGAAACCAATGTTATTGAAGTAAATATATAGTTTTCCCATCCAAGTTCACAGATACCCTGAAACTATACATAGACCCTTGGGATCCAAAGACCCCATGTCAAGAACTGCTGATCTACTCCAACCATCTTATTTATAGATAAGAAAACTGAGGGACATAGAACTTAAGTGACTTGTCCAGGGTCATATAGTTTTCTAAGGGACAAGAGTAAGAAGCAAACCAGCTTCCTCTGACTTGAAGTCCAGTGCTCATTCCACTCCACAATTCTTGACCTTTATTTCCCTGGGAGATTCCATGGAAGTCCATGAGGAAATGAGATTCAGTTTATAGAGATTCAATTTGGTAAAAAAAAAAAATAGATAGGTAATTAATAATAATAATAATGATAATAAAATTTATCCTAGAAAATATGGGATCTCTGTCATGAGAAATGCCATGTCTTAGGTTGGTATGGCAAACTATCCTTCAAAAGGAGAAAAGTGATTGGAAGGAATAAAGTGTTCTAAACCGTGGTGGCTACAATTCATTTCAGTATTGGAACTCATTTATCCTTTGTTTTGAAGAGGACCAGTGACATCACAGGGTGATGTCTTGACTCACAAGTGAATTGGATTTAAGTGAGGTAGAGTTGCACAAAGCCGCCAACCTCACTCTCTTTTCCAGAGTCATTGAAGTCTAGTGGCAGGACAAAAGTTAGGATGACTGGCAATGGCCAGGGATACAGTAGATGACGTTGGTATCTTAGATGTCTGACCAAACTCTAAGTGCACCTTTGTCAGCAGCCATGATGACTGTTGAAACAAAATGTTCTCATCTGCCCATTCTGCCAGAGGAAGTTTTTGCATGCTTGGGGTGATAATCCCCTAACTCACTTATGGGTTTGAGGCCTATTGGTTTAGCCCATCTCCTGAGATGGTTTTACTGGGAGTGTGGCCACTACAGCTACATCTTCTTGGAACCACAGGTAAGAGTTGGGAGAAAGGTGTACACCAAAGGTGACGAGCAGCCCAGAAGAGGGCTTGACAAGCCTTCACACCAGAGGAGCTAGTCTTCTCTGAAGACTTCTCTGAACAGCCCATATGCCCCTGGATTAGAACTATAAGCAGATGAAGGTTCAGTGTGAACCGGTCGTGTTTTTAAAGAACTCAAAATGGAAAAGCAGAACTTAAAAGAATTACTAATATTTGTCCTGGAGGCAAGAATAAAAGCAGTAAACAAGGAATCTTAGTCAGGCTACCTACTTTGATGGCTCCATGACATCTGTCATGATCCTGTGTGACTCTAAAATTGTCACAGGAATCCCACTTAACGTGCTGTGGAAGAGGGGTGGGGGTAGGCAGGTCTTCCGTAGAATTCCTCTGTAAGCTTTCAGTCTGTCCCATGATTGTCCTTCATTCTTATTATCTGAAGAACCTATCTAACTGATCTTTGGGGTTTTGTTCTAGTTACAGATTTCAGATGCCAGCTAGGAGGATAATGGTAATAATGATGGGCATTAAGTCACCCTCCAGATATAAGATTTTCATTAAGAAAATGTGAGTCAAATCTGGGGAAATGCTGCAGTTCTAGACAAAGGGGCTATGAGTGTCAGAACTCTAAATGAAGATGAAATAACTAAAATTGGTAACAGAAGTGAAGTCTGAGAGCACTAGATAGAAACTGCAGATTTCAAGCCAGAATGTACCCCAGAGGCTATCTAATCTCACTTGACAGATGAGGAAACTCATTTTTCAAGTGAGTAAACTGAGGGCCAGAAATTTTAAGAGATTTGCCCAAAATCACTCAGTAAGATTAAAGCCTTTGACTCCAAATTCAGTGGCCTTTCCACTGCGCAACACATTAATCCCATACCTTGTTTGACAACAATTACCACATTTCTAAAGCACATTCACAAAGAATTTTCCACATGTGACCTCTTGTATTCTGCGCAGATTAGCTTCTCTTAATAAGAAGTTTATCAACATCCTGTTTTCTAATTACCAAAGTTAATGGGATAGTCGCAGGAAATGGTAAATGGGATAGTTGATGCAATAGTAGTTAATGATAGAACAGTTCCAAGTCTAATGCTACATAATGTAACTTGTAATGTTACTGCTGCCAGTAATACCGGTTTCCCCTGGCTTGGGCGGCTTGACGATTACAGCTTCTGTAACCGGCACAGGTATGCCTATAAAGAAAAAAAAGGTTAGCTTTTTGAATCATATTTCTGTGAGATGAGGCTCACCACAATTCAAACAGTGCAGAAGGTCCCGACCTTATTTGAATCTTATAACTGCAGAAGACTTCAATGAACCCAACATGAAGGTAGGTGGACTATTAATATCCTTTAATTAAGAAAATAAGAGATTTGTCTATATCTTTTAAATGAATTTATATTTTCAACATAATGGCTGCTACACATACTTGAAAACAGGAAGAAATATATGAAGAAATTATTTTATAATAACAGCTCAAATTTATACAGGCTGTCCCAAAAGTTTTAATTTGGTTTTAAACTCTAACAGCTTAAAAGTGCATTAAGATTTTTGGGATGTCCTGCACAGTTGGTTAAAGTTTGCAAAGCATGATAGATAGATAGATAGATAGATAGATAGATAGATAGATAGATAGATAGATAGACAGACAGACAGACAGACAGACAGACAGACAGATAGATAGATAGATAGATAGATAGATAGATAGATAGATAGATAGATGGATGGATGGATAGATAGATAGACAGGCAGATAAGACAGACAGACATAGACAGATAGGTAGATAGATAAATAGATAGACAGATAGATAGATAGATAGATAGATAGATAGATAGATAAAGTACCTACAGTGTGGTAGGTGCTGGGTGTACAAACACAAAAATGAAACCATCCCTGCCTTCAAGGAGCTTCATTCTATCAGAGGAAACAATATGTATAATTATGTATAAATACAATTAAGTCCAGTGCTCTCTGTTAGGCCATGCATGCTGCCAGTATATAGAGGTATGTCTGATTTTTTTGGTGTACTGAGTCTTGCTACATCTATTTTAGAAGCTAAAGATAAGAATGGCAGGACTTTATATACACAGGATTATTGAACCAATTACAGTAAACCTGAAAGCCCCCAGGGGTCCTTGGCTCCCACACTGAAAGCCACTGGATGCAGGAGTCTTAGGATCAAAATATGCTTTAGGAGGAAGAAGTAGTGATGAGCAATTATATAATGAACACGAACAAATATCAACCATGGACCAAGGGAAAGGAATATAACTATGACAAATGATTCATGATAAGAAACTTATTAGCCACTACATAGAGAAACAAATAACATTCCTACATAAGAAATAAAACATATACTTACAGTCTGCAGGATAAACACATTTAAGTGTGACTTCATCAAGGATCATGTTCTTAGGACAGTATGGCAAGCATCCTTCAACCCTTTAAATATGTATTTTTAAAAAGTATAAGAATCATTCTTGAAGTAAGAAAAAATAGAATCACAATGAGTGAAAAAACATTTATTAAATGCCTACTATGTGAAACCTACTATGTGATGTATTTAACTGAGATATTATCTTCCAAAATTTCCTTTATGGCTCTAGTCAGACTCTGACAGCTACTGCATTCTTCCATGAAAATTGAATCTCATGTCCTCTTCCCCTAAATTCACACATTAGTAAGGTGTAGAGATGCTGTATGACTTCAACAAGGTTCTCAATGTATTCTTGTCACTCAGTGTTATTTAAGGATATTTCTATCACCTTATTGTTAATGATCTCAGTGCAATTAGAAAAAAAAAAGAAAAACTTGCTCATGTACTTCTTAAGACAATCCACCAAAAATGTTTGTTAAGCACTAAATACATACATTCCAGATTGGACTACAAAGGTAAAAGTCAAAGTCTCTGCCCTTGAGGAGTTTATATTCTATAGGAAAAAATAACACATGTAAGTAAATACAAAATGTATACACAGTAAATACAATGTAATTGTAGGAGGAGAGGGATGCTTTGAGGGGTGAGCTTTGAAGGAAACAAAGTATCTCAGATTTGAGGAGGAAGAACATTCCAGGCATGAGGGACAACCTAGTCAAAGGCAAAAACAGAGGAGATGCAATGTTATGCACAGGAATAGCAAGTAGGTTATTGAAGAAAGTGATGTATATATAGTATAGCTAAAAAGGTGGCCTGGCCCCAATTGTGAAATACTTCAAATGACAAAAGGAGGATTTTCTGTTTTCCATAGAGACAATAGGAATTCCTGGAGCTTTTGAAGTCAGGAAAATGGCATGCTCAAACATGCTTTTTAGGAATAGAAATTTGGCAGCTGTGCAGAAGATGAAGAAGTGAGACCCTAAAAGTAGAGATATCAGTTAGGAGGCTATTGCCATATCTAACGTGATTAGAGACTGAGCTAGGGCGGTGACCATGTGAGTGGAGAGAGGAGACAGACTTGAGAAATGTTGTAGAGGCGGAATTCTCAAAAATTGGCAAAACTGGGGGATGAATGAAACCAGGAAATCAAGAAAGACACAGATTTCAAAACTGGGTGACTGGAAAAATTGTGATGCCCACAATAAAAATACGGAAGTTCTGAAGAGAGGTGGATTTAGGGGAAAATAGAAGGAATTCTGTTTTGGACACATTTAGTGTAAAATCATTTATACTGGCTATGTAACCCTTGGTAAGTCCCTTAACCTCTCAGTGCCCTAGGCAGCTCTCTAAGACTACACATTGTAAAGTAGGTGGCAATCTACACTGGGAAGGATGGAGTTTTCTTATGGGAAGTTCCCAATATCAGCGAAACCATAGGTCTAGTTACTTCCTCCACCCCCCTAACAAAAACATGGGATATCTAATTGAGAACATCTATTTGGTAGCTGGTAATGTGACCCTTGAGCTCAGGAGACAGACTAAGTCTGGATGTATAGATCTATATATAAACCTGGGACATACATATACTGATACTCTTTCCAAAGATAGTTTTCATTTCTATTCACTTTCCTCTCCTGTAAAATGAGGGAGGTCTACTATATGATCTCTAAGGCCTTTTAAAGGTGCAAAATTTTACAATTCAATAGTTAACTGATTAACTGATAGCAATGAAATTAGGCAGCATGAGGTAATAGAAAATTAAATGCATCCGGAGTCAAAATCTAGGACCAAATCCACGCTCTGCTGCTTATTAAGTATTCAACATTAAGAAAGCTGCTAGCCTTCAATCTCTTCATCTGTAAAATAAGAAGGTGAGACTAGATGGCTTCTGCCCACATTGAAATCCATGATCCCAGGATCACTATTTGCCCTCAAACCAATGAGCCTGCGATTCTGCCTAAAACTGCCACTAGGGGGCACTCAGCCCATAGGTGGAACTATTCTTGAAGGCATTAAAGAAAAAGAAAATGGTGTTGGTTTCAGATTTTACTGCAGTCTCTTTTAGCTTTCTTAGTTATTTGTGCCAGCCACCTAAGCATCTTCCTTTGGAAATGACCAGGATGATCAATTAAATAAACTGCTCATTTCACAGCTTTCATTTGGACTGTGTATATCATGTTCTCCACTATATTTCATTCCGGTTCCTGCCAACCCTGAAAATGAGAGGTGAAAAAACAATAACAACAACCTTCTACATAGCTGATAAAGAATGGAGGCCACACACTATCACTGGGTCTTGGTAAGTAGTTTATTGTGTAACAAATGGCCAAGGACTCTATGTCGTGAAAAAATGAATATGTTCCGAAATGCTAAATCAGTAGAGGACCAATTTATTCTTGTAGGTTCTATGAAGCTTTAAGCTTTGGGTTGAGTACTAGTGGTAAAACATCTTTAAGGACCAGGGTAGGTAAGGAGAGGCTCATCATTAGCAGTCTGGCCACCAGAGATGAATTTTTTGGTCACAATTCATGAATCTGTCTATATTGCAATCTATAGACCTGAAGGGAAGTACCCATCCTTACGAAACCCTTATCTTTTCAGTGGATGAGGCAGCTAGGTGGTGCAGTGGATAGAGCACTGGGACTATATGCAGAAAGACACGAGTTCAAATCCAGTTTCAGTTACTTCTTAGCTGTGCATCCTTAGGTAAGGCACTTAACCTCTTTTTGCCTCAGTTTCCTTCACTGTGTAAAGTGGAAATAATAACAGTGCCTACCTTGCAGAGTTGTAAGGATCAAATGAGATAATTGTAAAAAGCACTTATTAGCACACAGCCAGGGTCGTAGCAGATTTAAATGTTTAGTAGGAATAAATGTTTATCCTTTCTTTTCTTTCTCAATTAACATTTGCCATGCGCAACATACTGAACTGGAGTAGATAGAAGCAACATTCCATCTATTTTTACCCCACTATTCCCAGTAAAACTGACTTTATCTTTCTAAGATGAATATTTTAAATCATACCTATACCTATTTTTCATCCAATTATATGATATATTAGCTACAATAGTGATATTTAGTAGTACTTTATGGATACTGATGTATCTATAAATATATGTATGTATTCACGTATATGTTATATAGACATACATACACACTCACATGAAAACACAGATCTGTGTTTTCATCTGGGAAGAAAATTCTCCATGAAGAAACTCCTTTCTCCAATGCACAATGGCATCTGCTGTCACTTACAATCCTACTTACAGAACTGTTTGGTGTGCTGTGTGCCCAGGGTCACAGAGCCAGCATATGAAAAACTAGGACTAGAACCCATAATCTACAAGGCACCTCTATTTACTATTCCACACCTACCTCTCCAAAAAAAACCAAATATATATGCCATATATAAAATGATATACCTTCTTTGCGGTAACTGTGCATAGCAAGAATGCCGACATTGAGAACTTGTTGGTCATTACAGATCTCACTTTAATAAAAATAATAGCTAGCATTTATATAGTGCATAATGTTTGCAAAGAGCCTTAAAAATAGTATCCCATTTTATCCTCACAACCACCCTGGGAAGTAGGTGGGGCTTGCCTAGGGTGACCCAGCTACTTAGTGTCTAAAGCTGTATTTGAACTGGTATCTTCCAGACTCCAGATTCAGTGGTCTACCCACTGTTCCAAGTAGCTGTTCTAGTTATAATACTAACAGAAATACTTAGAGAAGCTCTGTCTATTCACCTTTTGATGGCTCTACCACCATTATTACAAAGGTGAGAACAGGGTTGCACAGGAGTGAGAGTCATTAATAAGTTAGAACCTACCCTTTGCGGGCATGGCCCAGGTTTGCCTCTATTACATGAAATAAAATGCATTATATTTGTAATATGATATTAAGCATATCATATTACATGATGTCATGATCTATTCCATGACTGGAACCTATCCAGTGAGAGAACACAGGATGACCAACATTTCTTGCCAGCAGAGGATATCTTGCTCAAGTGCAGTTTCGTGGTGGTGGACCTTAAGGACTGGGGGTTGGAACAGTCTGAACCTGTGATTTCATTACAGCAGGGAACTTCTGCTGTGGACTTTTCCTCCCACAATGCAAAGCAGCAATCTTTCTGTGATGTATCATCCTATGGAGTTGTCCAGGGTTCTGAGGCAATAAGTGACTTGTTCAAAGTCACATAGCTATTATGCACCAGTACCAGGCCCTGAACCCAGATCTTCTCGACTCCAAAGTTAGCTCTCTATCAATTATTCCTTTCTGTAAGTATTATTATCCCCATTTTTCATCTTCCTCTACTGCTTTCTTCTATAAATAATCACTGAATTTGGGCATTGAAGGGAATGTTCTAGACTAGATCGATCATGAATCTTCTCTATAATATCCTGGGTAAGTGGTCAGTCAAATTCCACCTAAAGTCCTTTGGTGTCATGCAACACCCATGAGGCCCATTTTATTTTATAAATCTTTGTTAGTTCTTCCTTATATTAAGTGTTGTACAAGCCTCAAAAATCTGTACAAATCATTGTTAGTATTGTTAATTACTTAGTTATTCTCATCTTTTTAATGGAGTTGGAATCCATATAATAAGGACAAGTTGCTGTCTCCATATTATTCTTTTATGTATTTAACATAGTTGCCTTCAATTATTTGAAGGGGTTTCATTTGGGAGACTGATTAAATGTGTCACAGAGGACCACAGCAGGAGCAACGGATGGAAGTTTAACTGATGCATATTTTATTTTCATGTAATGAAAAAGATGCACACAATTAGACCTGTACAAACCTGAATATGCTTGACTTGGGAGGGGTTAGCTTTCCTGACCCTGGAAATTTTCAAGTAGAGGCTAAATGACAACTTCTCCAGCATTTTGGGGATGGAATACAATGTATCTATAATTGTGTACATGCTATATGCTATACATTGTACCTATATATTGTACAGCATCTACAATGTATAGATATGATATATATAGGCAATTATGCTGTATCTATACAGTATATATGGTATGCATTGCAGCTATACAGTGTATAGTATCTATAAGGTATAATACAATGTATCCGTATAATATTTTGTAGATATAATGTATATAGCGTGTCACTATGTGTTGTATCTATGCAGTGTATGGTGGCGTGATATATAGATACAATGTATCTTTGCAATATTTTATAGATACATTATATCTATGCAATGTACGTAGATGCCATATATAGTATTACACACAATATCTATACAATGTAAAGTGCTATGCCTTGTATACATATCTGATATAATATACAATGTTTATAATGTATGATATATAGATATAATATATATATCCTATACATGCATAGATATGCTGTATAGCATGTACAATGTATAGATATAATGTACAGTAGTGTGTCTTGAATACCTAGTGCCATATATTGTACAACTATATATAATACATAGTACTATATATACAAGGTACAGTACTATACATTGTGTCTATGCTATAGTATTTATACTATGTATAGTACCAGAATATACTGTATTGTTTCTGGCTACCATATTTTAAGAAGTGAATAAACAATCTATAGCTGGTAGAAGAAGGTACTAGAACCCAGAAAACATATTTATGGTTAATGGTGGAAGGAGTTGTGAATGCTTAGCTTAGTACAGATGAGACAGGCTAGTCGCCCTCAAATACTTGAAGATCTATTCTATGGATGAAGGAGCTCATTTCTTCTTCATAAATTCAAAGGTTAGAACTAGGACCAGTGGGTGGAAATTGTAGGGAGAAGGATTGTAGTATGATATAAAGATGAAAATTCTAAACATTAGAGAAGCTTTAAAATGAAATTGCCTTCCTGTGTAATGCAGTGGAAAGAATTCTGAAGTTAGAATCAGTCAAAGAACCTGAACTTAAAAACTGGGTTGGCAACTTATTACCTGTGTGACCTTGGACAAGTCATTTAAACTCTCTGAGACTTTGAATAAAGGGGTTGAACTAAATGATCTCCAGGGTGCCTTCTAATTCTAGGTAGACAATTGTACAGTTCCATGATCTGTCTTGTTATATTGTGAACACTTTGTCAATGGAAGCCACTGGATCATAGTTTCAAAGCTGAAATGGACCTTAAAGACCATTGTGTCTAACCCCTTCATTTTACAGATGAGGAAACTGAGGTCTCAGAGCTGTCCAATGACTTGCACAAGTGCTCGCAGACAGAAAGCGCACAGTAAGGCAGATTTGAACATAAAGTCTTTATGACTCCAAGCCTAGTCCCCTTTCCAATATGTCATGCTGTATTCAAGAAAAGGCTGAATAACCTCTTGTCAGGGATGTTGTAATAGACCAGGCTAGATTTTCTCTAATTTTTCTTCAGGTCCTTGAGGTCCTAAGTTTTCTTACATTCAGTATTTAAAGGAGCGTTTTTAAACTACTAAAGTTAGTATTAACTGAAGTTACAATATATGTATGACATAAATTGATCATGAAACTAGGAAATGCTACTTACGGTGGAAGAAATTTACATGCAAGTGCATCTGGATCACTGCAAGTTTTAAAACATGGAGTAGCACATGGTTCATATCGCCACTCACACATCCTTCTATAAGGTACTGCTGCTGGGATTTCTGGGAAAGTAAAAAACAAGAATGTTAAACTATGTATTTTAAAGAATTTATACATTGAAAAAAAATGACAGTGTGCAGTATGAAGTAGAATTCTAGAGTCTGGAGGGCCCTTGGATATCAATTCCTTGGAATTTATAAGCATAGAGATAAAGGGTATTAAGTCTATGGTGATCAAAACAGTGCAGTCAAGTTTAGTTATGTATGCCAAGACTCACTGTGATTCCCAACAGGTTTTTTGTTCTTTTGAGTTCTTGCAGTTTGTATATTGCTGGGATTTATATCATAGGTTATTCAGAGTAGTTTTGTAGCAATAAAAGATATTCATGTTGAATGCTTATTCATCTATTGCCTGATATCCAGAAACTATATTTTATATCAGTTTTTGCTATCTGATAGCAGCACATTTTCTCTTGATGAAGGTAGAATCCTTCAAAAGCTAGGTAGTACTATTCCATTCTCACATAAGACTGGTAAGCAACTGAATTTGTCCTCTTCCCTAAAACCTTAGTAATATCTAAGCTTAAAATTTCTGCTTTGTGACTGACTCAAGAATTTTAAGTCAGAAAACTAGTTTCCTGGAATTCATATGCTGTGTGAATTTCTTTCTGCTTTCAAACACGAATTAGAAGTCCCTGAACTTCTGTGTTTCTGACAGTTTGCAGCACCCCAACATGATGGCAAGATCCTTTCCTATTTCTGATTCACATGTATTTTTTACAGGATCTGTGATTTCATTGATAAAGAGAGCTTACAAGAGACTTCCTCTACCAATGTTTTAGGTACTCTTTCTGCAAGGTAAAATCCTTAAGAGTTACCTAGGGTACTGGAGTAAAAATAACTTATATAGGGTTATACAAACATATATGTAGGGCTTAAATTCAGGGTTTCCTGGCTCTGAGCCAGCTCTCTGTCTGGTATGCCATGCTGCCTCTCACAAGGACAAATCATTCATTACCAAACTCCAGGCCAACTAGTGACAAGCCTCTCCTGGCTGGTCCTCAAAAAGAAGATAAAGTCTATTGACAGCACTACATGTGAAGGTCATGTCTACATCTTGTATATGTTGTCTCCCACCTTCCCCATTCCTCTAGAAAGAAAGCTCCTTGAGGGGAAGACTTCTTCATATTTGTCTCTATACCCGTAACATCTACCACAGGGCTTGGCATATAGTATGTCTTTAATAAATTATTGGTATGTGATTGATGGATATCCAGCATGGTAGAACCTGCTTGAGCTTATATTCCATCTAGCATAGATATCCAAAAACCCAATGTCACCTCCACATTGCTATGAGTCATTGCAGTAGAGCTTTATGGAAAGTTTAGGTCCTCATCATGAGCAAAATGAGCAGAGCCAAGAGCACTGTATACAGTAACAGCAATATTGTTTTAAGAATGACGTTGAGTGAATAAGTTATTTTAACTATTATAAATACCCACATTAACTATAAAGGCCATATTAAGATGCTATCTGCATACAGAGAAAGAACTGATCAGTAGAAGCATGTATAGAATAATTTTACTTATATATCTTTGTAGCTTGGGGGGTGAGAAAAAATTTAATTGATCATTTTGTTGTATACTTGAAAGGAATAACAAGTTGTTCACAGTAGATTTGCAGTTTCATGTGCAATCATCTTATTTATCATACTATGCCATGGCAATGCTTGCTTTATTCCATAAATTAAAGATAAAATTAAAAAAAGAAAATGTAGGTGCCCTACACACATAAGATTTGTGTTCAAGTCTCACTTCTAACAAATATTGGCTACAGTACTGCAGATAAACCACTTACTTTCTTAGTGTTCTAGGAGCATTTAAGATGCAAAGAAGAAAAGAAGATGCCAAATAGCATTGGTAAGGGTCCCCTTATCTAGGAATTCCTTATAGCAATGAAATCATAGGTCCATTTCCTATCCAAATGACTTAACATGAGATCCTAGTCAGTGAACCTGTATCACTGCATGTCACTGAAACTAGAACAGCTTTTAATATAAATGTCATCTGGGCACAAGGTGCTTGTCAATAGGATAAACAGAACATAGAAAACACATGCTCCACAATATGTAAAAGTCATTGGCTGTATTACATGCGCTACATGTTGGGGGTACAAATACAAAGGCAACACAAGGAGTTTACATTCTCCTGGGGAGAGGACAGAGATAAAACATGTTCACTAATATATAAAAAAAATAATTAAACAGTGAAGACATGCAACTAGCCATTGACATAATCAGAAAGGCCTCATGAAGAAGGCAGTGCTTACACTGAACCTTGAAAGGAGTTAGGGGTTCCAAAACAGTTTCCCGGTGTGTTAACTTCTCCCATTAGAATGTGAGTCCATGAGAGCAGCAACTGTCTTGGTCTTCTGTTTTTCTCCACAATGTTTAGCCCAATGCTTTGCGTGTAGTAAGGCTTAATAAATGCTTAATTCATGCATTTTAAGAGGTAGAGGTGAGGTGAAAGGATGTCTATCCAGAAGAACCATGACTGGATACTACATTCACTAAAGTGCTCACAAATGGCCATAATAAAGTTCATTCTATTAGCATCACATACATCAATAAAGACACTTTTCACAAGGTTTTCTCAGGAGGCTAGTCACAAAAGTTGTTGATGCCATCATACATTCTCCATTCAAGATTATAAGGACCACCCAAGTGGATATTGTTGGAAATTGTGCAATCAATGTACAGTTGGCTCCTTCCCAGAGAACCTTCTATATATCATTGTAAATAGTTATCAGAAAAGCCTCTTAGAAAGTTACTTGTTCACAGCCCTAGGAATCAGTGTTCAAAGCATTCACTGCATTAGAAGAGCCTGATTAGAATAAGATGATGTGTTGAAAGAATTTTCAAGAGAAGGAAAAGGGGATAATTTGTTCTCCATATCCCCAGAAAGCAATGGGAGGAAGTCACAAGAAAGAGGATTAAGCTTTGCTTGAGGAAAACTTCCTGATAATAATGGTAGTTTAAAAGTGGAATGAGCTGCTTCAGGAAATAGAAAGTCTCCTCTTACTTGGAGGTCTTTAAACAGATAATGTAAGACCACTTGTTGGGAATGGCAAAAAAATCATTTCTTTTCTGGCATGAGTTGGAGTGTATGGCCTCTGAGGTTCCTTTCAACCTGGAGATTCTGCTCTATAAAGATGCCAGTAGTTCTTCTTAGCTGTTGCCTATGGAACTGAAGGATTATATGGAAGACCTAGGGATTTTATTGTGACTCCAGCTGCTACATTAAAAAAAAATTGTTGTCATCATTCAGTCATTTCAGTCATGGATGAATCTTCATAAGCCCATTTGGGGGTTTTCTTGGCAAAGAAAACCATTTGCCATTTCCTTCTCTAACTCATTTTACAGATGAGAAAATTGAGGCAAGCAAGGTTAAATGATTTGCCCAGGGTCATACAGCAAGGAAATGTCTGAGGCCAGATTTGAACTCAGGTCTTCCTGATTCCAAGCCTAGTAATCTATCCATTGTGCCAGGTAGCTGCTGCATCAATTCTTTTGGATGTTCAAAATATAACTTCAAAGATCTCTGATTTTCTAGGTGAGGGTGGTCCCTCCACCAGTATGAACTGCATCTACTCTTACTTCAGTTTGTCTTCAGAAGTTGTTATGACTAAAAACATATCACCCTGCAGGCAAACTGGTGCTGAGCCTCCTAATTTAGCTTACTTGTGCTCAGATTCCTTGGACTATAAGCTAGTCTTAGGATCTTAAAGAGTTTGTTTTCCACTGGTATAGACCCTTTAGCACTGATAGCCACGATAAGGCATCAGGAGTGGAAGTTTTATGAAAGACTTTAAAGAAAAAAAAAGTGAAGATATGGTATACCTAATTAAACCTGCATGTGAATAATTTGCCTATGGCTGGTGGGCTATAACAATTTCACTAACAGTAAAGGGATAGAGTGACTTCATTGGTATAAGGACCTACTGAACAAGAAGTCTACCAATGCAGATTGGTAGCTTACCTTGTTAATAACAATAAGCATTATTAATATTCTAATTATTCTAATTCTATTATTGGTAACAGTTATACAGTGCTTTTAAGAGAAGCAAAACACATCGCTCATCTCTCTGGATCCTCAAATCAACCTTATGAATTAGATGCTATTATTATCCCCATTTTACAAATGAGGAAACAGGTTAAGAAAGCTAAGTGACTTGTTCAAGGTCATACAACCAGTATGTGTAAGAAGTAAAGTTCGTCAGTTCTTCTTAGCTCTGAGGCCACTTCTTTATTCAGACTGCCTAACTGGAAGGTGCATTTGTGAGGACCACAAGTGCGCTGTTAAAAAGACATTTAAGCAATTCCTATATCCAGGATTTGCAGTCAGTCAATCCTTTGTCAGCCTTGCTGGGAGGAAAGTCTTTGAAAAGTATGGCCTTGTCTAATGATATCAGCATGTAGAGCTGGCAGGGCTGCTATGGACACCTAGTCATCTCTTGTGAAAGGGCATTCCAAATCAGTGTCGGTACTTGAGTTTGGAATTTCTGTCACCTGTGGAATCTTCTAATGCTTCATGGAGACATTGCCTTATAGAATTCTAGACATGGTCCTAGTATTGGGCAAGGGTAAGATTTCAGTAAGGCCTCCATAATTTCAATATATCAGATCTATCTAAGTATGTAGAAAGAAATGAGAAATTGTCATTTCTAATGTCAACCTTACCAACATAGTCAGGCAAGAAGTATTTGTTAAGTGCATATAGCAGCCACAGTCAGACGCACTGTAACTCGACTCTAACACAATGATGTCATTTTCGTCCTCTTAGAGAGCAAACAACCACCAACCATAGCATGCAAGACATTGTACCAAGTTCTGAGGATATAAAGAAAGACAAAAATGGTGCCTGTCCTCAAGGAGCTTACATTTTAATGAACACTACAAAATGCAGTATTGTACGTATCTAGTTATATACAATATATAGACAGAATAGATGAAAGGTAACAAGAGGAGAAGGTATTAGCAGCTAGAGGGACAGGGAAAGACCTTTTACAGAGGTTAAGACTTGACCTGAGTCATGAAGGAAGTCAGGGAAAACAAGAGACCAAAGAGAGGGGGGTCAGAGTATTCCAGGCATGGGGGACAACTAGTGCAAATACATGGTAGTGGTCTGCCATGTTTGAGGAGCTGCCAATAAATGACTGTGGCTGGAAGAAGCGGAAAAGAGAAGGATGTACAAAGTCTGGAATGGTAAGAAGGGGCTAAATGCCAAATAGCTACTATTCACTCCACTCCTGATAAGATTAACACAATCCACGATGTGCCTACTACACAAACAGAACACAGCTTGAAGCCTTCCCAGGGGCACTCGGTTTCTACCATGCGATTTTCTGCTTGTCGGTTTGTCTTCTTTCCCTACACAAGACAAAGAGGGCTTAGCTATTTCATCTCCTGGTGGGCAAAGGCCTTCCCTGGAATTAGACTTGTTGGCATATACACATTCTCAGGAATATCAGGCAGTTAATTATTCATTCCTGAGTCTGTAATAGTACACTAAAATGAATATCAGTAACAGTTCCTTACAGTGTTGGAGGAAGCTTCAGTCACAAAATTCCATGAAGGTGTTGAGATATCAGCAGTTCAGATGGCCATCCATCCATGCTTTCTCATCCTGGGTGACTCTTGTCTGTGTCCTCCCATAAATCTTTCTTTGAGTATATAACCAGCCCACTGGATATCTTCTTCTATGTCTTTCAGCATTTCATCATGACTTACTGAATGTTTGGTCCCTCTCCTATGGCTCCCACTTGCTTCACGTAATACTTGTACTTCCTTTTCCAACACATTTCTTGAATGACAATTTTAACATCACTTTTCATGCATGCCATTCATCAGCTAGCATTATACCATCTAGATCCTATTTATAACTATTGCACATTTATTAATTGCCCTTTGGGTCACCTTCAACTTTGATGCTTTATGGATTATAGTGAGTCCAGAATGCGCATAATCAAGAAACTGTGCTGCTCCAGAAAATAGGGCTTCTGCTTCGGGAAACAGATCAAGGTCATTGAAAATCCAGATGCAAACTCTCTCTTGCTCCTATTCAGTTCTGGAGCTGGTTCATTGTTCAGCTGCAGTGTCTATTCAAGCAGTACATACTGATAGATTAACTCAATGGACTATCAATTCTTCTGTACACCTTCATAAGAGACATTCTTAATATGCTTTTTTTCCCATTTGGACTATTAGGTTGAATTCTTCTGAGCGGTCATGAATTTTACTATGGAAATTGCAGCAGTTTGGGGCTAGCTGTAAAGAGCCCAATGTCATGAGACAGAATGTCTCACCAGGCAACATGGCAGACTGGGAAAGCATTGGCTATGGAGACAGATGACATAGCTCCAGATCTTTTCTCTGTCACTGATCAGTGCTGTGACTAAGACTTAACCTCAGGGTCAGTTTTCTCATCTTTAAAATGATGGGTTGGGACATTATGATGTCCAAGCTCCCTTGAAGGTCTAAATCTCTGATCCTTCTTCCCTCTGAACTCTTGGCTGGACATCTTCCAGTATGATAGAGAACTTCCTTTGTGAGCACACATCTCCCTATTTAAAGTTTCACTTGTGATTCAGGATCAGAAAAATGTGAAATCATTTTCTGTGTTACATCTGCTAAGGAATTGCATATAACTTTAACACATGCATGGCAGAAAATTGGTGGGAGGCTGTATTTTGCTCTCAAGTCAAATGCTTTTTTAAAAAATCAATAAACACTAATTGCCTTGGGTTTTTGTTTCCTTACTACCGTTGAGTCAATTGCTGTGAAAATGTGGTCTGCTGCAGAAAAATGATTGTGAAAGCCTCCCTATTCTCATATAATCATAAAAATACTTTTAATGTATGTGCAAATCATTCTGTTTTGTAGAGATGAGAAAGTAGGTATATGGGTCACAAGTCGCCAATATTTTCTGGATCATCTCTTTTTTTTCCCCCGTGGTTAATACCGTTCATGGTTTTCCCCCTGATAATTTATTTTCTTCCTCACCTTCCAATTTATTATGGATGGCTCCCTCTTCCCCCCTTCAGAAATACATAGGCAGTGTCTGTGGGATACCTCCAATCTGGTTGAAGGAAGAAGTGAGGAAGAAGTGAACAGAACCTTCAATTATCTACTACTATCACAATGGCATCATACCTACTTGTGGAATGGATATGGGCTTATGACAAAGTTCAATATTACTGACATATAGGAATCAACACAGCTGTGAGAATTCCACAGCAGTCTTTACAAAGTTGAGGACCATACCTTATAAGATCAGTTAGTCAATGAACATTTATTAAGCACCTACTACATGCCAAGCACTGTATTAAGCACTGGGGACAGAAAGAATGGTTAAAAAAAAAAGGCAGTCCTGTTTGGACTAATGGGGAGATAGTTTTGCACAGTGCCTAGAGGGCTTAGAATTAGGAAGATCTGAGTTCAAATCCAGCTTCAGACATTTAGTAGCTATGTGACCCTGGGAAATTCACTTAACCTTGATTTCCCTTAGTTTCGTTATCTGTAAAAATGGAGATAATGACAGCAGTTACCTCTCAGGGTTTTTGTCAGGATCAAATGAGATAATAATAGCAAAGTGCTTAGCACAGTACCTGGTATATAGAGGGTGCTTAATAAATGTTTGTTGTTATTATTATTACTGTTAGGATAGAATTAGCTCAGTATTCTCTTAGGACACACAAAGCATACCTTCCAGGATAAAGCTACTGGCAAGCTTAAAATCTTCAGAATCATCGTATTTGGAGACTTTGACAGAGGAATCAGTGAAGATAATGAAAAACCCTTTCTTGCTGTGTAGTTCAAATGCACTATAACCAGGAATCCAGAGGCCCTGGTGGTGGAAAAACGTGGCATTTCGGCGAAAGCCAGAGTTTGCCTCCCACCGCTCCAAGCTAATGGAGTCATCCTCATGGACAAAGAGAAAGTAGTTCGGCCTTTCAGCAGATTCTAAGGAAACCAGTGACAAAGCTGCAATGAGGAAAGAAAGAAGAAAGACAATCAGCTCCATTTCCCAAAAAGTGATAAAATCATTAATCATGGACACATAACTGGGCTGCTAAAATCATATTCTTCCTCTCTCCTCCTCCCAAATCACAGTGTCAGAAATAAATATTTTCCTATATAAAGGCCTTTTCTTCTTTCTTGGATTTGCTTGGGGTATAGAACTAGCAGTGATAGAGCTGGGTCAAAGGGCATGCAGAATTCAGCAACTGTTTGGTGTATAATTCCAAATTGATTTCCAGAATGGTCGTACCTATTCACAGGTCCACCAGCAGCTGCCTCAGTGTGCCTCACAGTGCAGTGTAATGTAACAGATGGAGAATCAGAGGACTTGAGTTCAAATCCCAGCTCTACCTGAATTAGGCAAATCACTTCATTTCTCTAAGCTTCAGTTCCTTTATTTGTAAAATATAGAAATAGGCTAAAGTCCCTTATAGCTTTAGGTCCTATAAGAAATGGTAACCCCAAAGACTAGAGAAACACTTTTATTGTCACTCTGGAAAATAGAGGGTTTTTATTGTAAAAAAATGTCTGAAAGGTCTTGGATGGATTTTTAATGGGCTTTTCCACCTTTAATATATCTAGAAATATCATTATGCTAGGAACCTATGTTGTCTCCTCCATTACATCAGTAAGCTCCTTCAAGGCAGGACTATGTTATCCCTATTTTTGTATTCCCAGTGCTTAGCACAGAGCCTGACACATAGCAGGCATTTAATAAATGTTTATTGATTGACTGATCAATTAGAAAAAATATGAATAGTTAATGACTACCCAGGCATCTATTTAGATAACTTTACTATTCAATAGAAGATATGCATCACTGCATAAAAGCTGGAGAAACACTAAATTAAAAGGCAGAAAAGAGAGGGAGAGAAAAGAAATATAGTCATTGTTACCAAATTAAAGAAAAAAACCTCAATTTGCCCTGCTTTCCATTTTTGACATATCTAATCATCAGTAGTATACTGAATTCACAGATACTTTTAAATTATTGCTCCCTAATTTATGAGTCATAAATAAATGAGAGATTTTTTTCAGTGTCACCATGTGAGTTCTTATTGCTTTTATTTAGGGGTTGTAGATGTGCCATTTGAGCAATCTCTTGAAAATATGAATTAATGTGAGCCATTCAAAGAGGATCTCCCTAAAATCCAATATTAAGATTCCAGATTCTGAGAATAGATTGTCTCAATGAAACTTTGGAATCTAGAATGTCACTAGGATTCGATCTCGGAATATTCAACCTTTTTATCTTCAATTCATATTCCAATTAATATCTATTTTCTTGTCCTTTCATCTTAAAAAAATTAGTTTGAAGAAGGTCTCTTCTTCCTGGGAATGCAAAATGTGTCTCTAGAAAATAAGGGTGTGGTATGGAAATTTTATGATACGGTTTATTTTAGAAAAAAGGAATCCATATTAATTAACACATTTATACTAATTTAAACAGAAGCATTTATTAAGTACTTACAATGTTAGATGTTAAGGCTACAAAGACAGAACAGAAAAATTCCTGAAAAAAGAGAAACCGTATTATCTAGAGGCAGGTAGGTAGCAGTGCATAGAGCCTTGGGCCTCAAGTCAGGAAGATTTAAGTTCAGATCTAACATAAGATATTTACTGTGTGAACCTGGAAAAATCACTGTCTGCTTCAGTTTCTTTGATTATAAAATAAGAATAGGAATAGCACCTAATTTACAGGATTGTTGTGAGGAGTAAATGAGATAATACTTGTAAAATGTTTATCACAATAGTGTCTGATGTGGTACACATTTAATAAATTTAATAAATAAATGTATTTTCTTTCCCATTTATTAATATCCATGTAAAACAAAGATCTTTTTTCAAAATATAAAGCATACTCACATGATTTTTTTTCTCTGAAAAGTCCTGGAGTTATCATAAAACTAAAAAACACAAAATCATGTGGACTAGTTCTTTTTAAAGGGAAGATTTTTCTACTGGTAATATTTGCTCCAAGAACTGTACCAATGCTTCCATAGCTAGCCAATATATATGGTCCTTCTCCGAGCCCTGGTGAAATAAACATAAGAGAAGGGTGAATTTTCACAGATGATTTCACTTATTTCTACCATTGTACTAATTAATGAACTTTAAAAAAAAGATACAGAATTGTACTTCATAAAATAGAGTGTTTTTGCTGTGACAAATTAAATTCTCTGTTAAAAAAAAAAACATTTACCCTGAATAAAAATAGCTGAACTTCATTCCAAAGATAATGTGCTCCAAAATGGGAAGTGTTAAATGACTTGTTAACTCCTCTAAGCATGTTTCCTCATCTTTAAAATCGGAAGAAAATATCTAAGGTCTCTTGTAGCTATGACATGCTTTGATTCTGCAATTCTAAATGTTGCAGGGACACTGTGGACTACATCTTTGACACCTACGGTCTAGAACACTGAGAATTTGAGAAACTTGCCCAGGGACACACAGCCAGTATGTGTCAGATACAGGTCTTGGAACCCAGGTCTTCTTTGCTTGGAGATTGGCTCTCTATCCACTGTGCCACAGGTGCTTTTTAGCAGCTGCAGAAACATATATGTTCAGGCATCTTCGTAGTTTCCAAAACCTTATCTTTCCTTCAACTCTTCGCATTTTTCAGTAAAAATAATTCTGGGTGAGGATATTACACAAAGTAACTTCAAGGTCCTCTCCTTCCCCCCATACAATCACTTCCCACTTACTTTTGTCCATTCATGTAATCCAAAAAGTAATACTTAATGCTCTAAACTGTTGTTTACTTGGAAATCATTCCAAAAAACCAAATAATCTCTTTTTTTAGGAGGCCCAGTCAGCTAGCTGGCATAGTAGATGGCTAGCTGAATTATAAAAAAGAAGACAAACTCACAGTTTTTTAAGTATTGAAAAGGCTTTTATTTGTTTAGTTTTTTGTTTGTTAAGGGCTTGGGGGCAGGGTTGGTTTTTGTTTTTGTTTTTTCCTATCTGTAACACTCCTGAATTTTGTGAGACGCCTTACCATACTGTTCACCCATTTAAAGATAATGGTCATCTGTAATGTCATGCCTCGCAGAAGTCTTAATAATATAGAATATCTATTTAATATTACAGCTATCCACAAAGCCATGCCCAAGGTTAGTGTATCTGGGAGAGGCTGAGTAGCACAGAAAGAGCAATCATGAATTCAACCACCTATTTGCTGTTGTTAGGGGGTGGACCTAACTCAGGCTGGCCTCCTGTAAGTTCAGGTTTGATGTTGGGGTGAAATGAGGCATTGGTAGGTAAGCTCTCTGTTCTGTGTTGTCTTCTTCCATTAGAGTGTAAACTCTTAAGGCAAGGGCTGTCTTTTTGCATTTGTATCACCAGTGTTGAGCATAGTGTGTGGCATTTATCATACAATAAATGCTTGATTCACTATTTCTTTTCATTATTTTAGTCTCTGAAGAAGAATTGGATCATATCCTTCAGAAGGGCAAACCCTCTGCTTGATCTCACTACCTTCCGTCTTCTGTAAGATTTTGCCCCTTGGATCACTGGCTCCCTTATTCTCATCTTTATCTTTATCTACCAGATCTTTTCATGCCACCTACAAATATTCCCTGTCCTCCCTTATCCATAAAGAAAAAACCAAAACGTTGCATTGGCCCTGCCATCTCTCAAAATGGCCTGCCATCTCAAAATATTATCATGTAACTTTCTCTTATCCTTCATAGCTAAACTCCCATAAAATGCCTGTTCTTGTTGCCTTTATTTCCTCAGCTAATCCTCATTTCTCAGTCCCTTATTTTCTGCCTTCCTAATTCTTTGCTTGGCTAAAAAAGAGCTTCTACTAATCTTTGAAATGCAGATTCAATGGCATTTCTCTCAGTCTCATTTTACATGATCATTGTGCACCTCTTGATATTGTCTACCGTGTCTTTCTCGATAATTCCTTGGCTTCTGTGACACTGAGTTATCTTGCCTTTCTTTCTTTGGGTCCAACCTCTTTTTCCTCCTTCAAGTCCTTCTCAATCTCCTTTGTTGTATCATGCATTATCTGTCCCTCACTGAGATGGGAGTCACTCAGAGCCTATCCTGACACCCTTCTATTCTCTCTCTACCCTTAGAATCACAGGATTGTACAGTTAGAAGAGACCTTATTGGCAACTCTTCCAACATATACCCTAAAATAAATCCCATCTATAACATACCTAAGAAATGGGCATATAACCTCTGCTTGAAAGCATCTCATGATGGGCAACCCACCACCTCTTGAGGAAGACTAACTTTTCTACAGCTCTAATTATTAATACATTTTCCCTGATATCAAGCTTAAATTTGCTTTTTTTGTAACTTAAAAATTTTCTTCGTTCTGCCCTCAGAGGCCAAACATAACAAGTATACACTCTCTTCTACATGATAGCCCTTCAAATATTTGAACGCAGCCTGATATACTTTCCCCCATGAATCTTCTCCAAACTAAACTTCACAGTTCCTTCAACAAATCATCATATGATATGAGCTTTAGTCACTTCACCAGACTAATTGTTCTCCTCTGAACACTCTCTAGTTTATCAATATACTTCCTAATCTGAGGTGCCTGGAACTAAACACTGCCCCAGGTGTGGTCTCCAGGCACAAGAAGGACTGTCACTTCCATATCCCTGCAAGCTATGCCTCTCCTAACTTCCCTCAAGATTGCATTAGTTTTTTTGCTATCACCTCACACTGCTTGGCTCATTTTAAGCTTTGAGATTGCAGTCATTAAACCCTCAGATCTTTTTCAGAGAAACTCCTATCGAACCATGCCTCCCCTATCTTGTACTTGTGATATGAATTTTTGAACCAAAGTGTAAAACTTCATGCTTATCTTTACTGAACCTTATCTTAGTAGAGTGCTCTAGCCTATCAGGACCTTTTAAGATCCCAACTCTGTCATCCAGTGTGTTAATTATCATTCCTGTATTGTATGACTTGGACATTTTATAAACATGCCATTTGATGCCTCTGTCCAAGTCACTGATAAAAAAAATATTACATGGGCCTAAGTACTAGAGTGCCCCTCCTGCCAGGAAGATATGTAAGTACTCATTGAGTGTAACCATTTAACCATTTCTGAATCCGTGTAACTATATAATCTTCTACTCTACATCTTTATATCTTCTCCCATAATAACTGTATGGGATTAAGAGGCAGTGTGGTATGGAGGAAGAGTGGTTGTTCCTAAAGTAAAAGAATTTGAGTTCAAATCCTGCCTCTGACGCTATCTGTGAAACTTGGATAAGTTCATTAAGTTTCCTGAGTTTTGTTTTCTTCATGTGTTAAGTGAAGGATTTGGACCCTAGCAGTTCTTGAGTTATAATCCTAAGAAATATTATCCAATATGCTGCTAAATCTAGATAAACTATATTGACAGCATTCCCCTAATCAGCCAATTACATGATCCTTTCAAAATTCAATTTAATGCAATAAAAATGTATTAAGTGATTACTGTGTGCCAGGAACTGTGCTAAGTAAGGTTAATCTAGCATGAGTATTCTTGATAAAACCATTCCGGCTCTTAGAAATCATGGTTCCCTAGGTATTCACTAACTATCCCTTTAAAGGATAAATGAATGGAAAGCATATTAAAGGACTTCCAGGGGTGGAGCCAAGATGGTGGAGTAGAGAAGCATTCAGTCAAGTTCTCCCCAAATTCCCCTCCAAACATCTTTAAAATAACACCACAGATCCAATTCTGGAGTGGCAGAGCCCCAAAATAGGCCAGAGTGAGACATTTTTTCAGCCCAAGACAATATAGGTCAGAAAGAGAGATCTATGATGTGGTGGAGGAGGCTGGCCCAGAGTTCACATGGATAAAACACCAGTGATAGTGGGGACAGAAAGAGCAGCAGCTTAGGGAGCTCCCAAGCCAGAGACATAAGGGAACCTGGCAGCTGGTCAGAAAGAGATTACAGAAGACTCCTGCGCTAGCACTGGATGCAGGATCAGAAGCCATTTGGCATCTCCATTGCCTAGACCCACTGCTGGGCCATAATGCAAAGACAGAGAGGAGCATTTTCATTCGAGAGGAAGTGGGAGCCCTGAAACACAACTATTTGGCAACTCCATTGCCTATGCCCACTTCTGGATCTCAATTCAAGGGCAAAGAAGAGCACTTTCAGTCAAGAGGGAGTGGAAGCACTGAGGAGCAATATCACTTCTGGCTCTAAGGCATCAGAGACCATAAAGAACTTTATTTTTACAGTCTCCATGGAGGAGAGAACCTAAGGAATAGTATGAATTACAATCCCAAGGAACTCTTCTTAGGTAAGGACCATCGTGAAGACCAAAAGAGCAGTGACCACATCTCTTCCTAAATGATACTACCTTAAAGACACTGAAAATCTCCAAAACCCTGGAACCAGCTCTGAAAATAGCAGTGTGACAAAGCCTGAAGCTTGAGACAGAGCTCTTCCTTGTACTGGGAACAGAGTCTAACATTACAAAAAATTCCAAATCAATAAATAGAATGGGAAAATGAGCAAACAACAGCAACAACAAAATCTGACCATAAAAATCAACTATGGTGACAGGGAAGATCAAGACACAGACTCAGAAAAGGAGACAATCTCTACAAACAAAGTCTCAAAGAAAGATGTGACTTAGACACAGACCCAACAAGAATTCCTGGAAGAGCTAACAGATGATTTTCAAAATCAAACAATAGTGGTAGAGAAAAAAATTAGCAAATAAATGAAATCAAGGGAAGAAAATTATAAAAAGGCAATTAACATCTTGGTAGGGGATGGAACCTATTTCAGCCTAGTCTATACATTTAAAACAAGGCAAGCTAAATTAAATAACTGAACTATGTACCTATAAATTTGTCTTATCACTTTCATCTGAACCTATGGTTTCATCTATGCAGAGGAATCCCAGTGTGAGACACCCACCACTGTTGCAGATCAATAATTTATCTGTAAGTTAAGTCTTAGATAATTACCTGGGCCACCAAGAAGTTGCCCAGAGTCACAGAGCTAATATTTGACAAAGACAAGATTTGCATCCATGTCTTCTTGGCTCGCTGGCTCTTG